TTTTTGATGGACATTAATGTGAGAGTTCACTATTACCACATTCCTTTTGGTTGTAAATGGCTTTTCTGCTATGGTAACCCGAGGCCTGGTTCTGCCTGCGTGTTAGTTGCAGTTCGGGGGTAGTTCGCAGAACTCCAACACATAGTTTGTTGGAAGAGGGGGTTTGCATGATTATTCTTTTAGTTTAGTTTATTTAATTGTATAGCGCATTTAAAAACAAATTGCTCCAAAGTGCTTTGGAGCTTGGCCATGCAAGGATGCACAATGAGCCTAGCACTGGGGGAACTCTGACCTGCTTCTTGGTCCCAGTCAAAAGCTATTGCTGCATTTTGTGAAGGTGATCCAACAGAACACGGAAGCCCTAGATACAAAGAATTACAATAGTCCACCCTTAAAAAAATCTAAAAGCCTGTATAACCTGCTTCAAATCCTTAAAAGACTTTAAAATAAATTGTTTTTGCAATGCGCTTTAAATGAAAGAAACCAGCCTTCACCACTGAATTTACATGCTTATCAAATTTAAACTCTGAATCAAAGATAACTCCCAGATTATTTGCTTTCTTGTGTAAATTAGAGGCAAGAGGGCCTAGAGCCCTAGACAATCAAGAATGTGCATTGGTGACATAATGGAGCAAAACACTAGGCATTCTGTTTTAGCTTCATTAAGTAAAAAATGATATGCCATCCATAGTTTAATTTCACTTAAGCAATTCATTAGACCATTTAATCCAGTGCCATCATCTGCCTTCAATGGAAGATACAGTTAAGTGTAATCTGCATAACGGTGATAAGCAACAATAAAATAACAATATGGGCCCCAAAATTGACCCCTGTGGAACCCCACAAACACAGACTGCAAAATCTGAGAAATCATTTCCCAATTGTACTACAGAACTTCTGTCCTTTTAATAAGAAGAAAACAATTTGAGGGTATTTGCCTGGATCCTTACCCACTGACGCTCTAAAAAAAAACAGCTGATGACAAACAACCTTCTCAAAAATTTTAAACTTTGGAATTGGCCAAATTTTTACTAACAACGAAGTGATCAAGTCTAGGCTTTTTAAGAAGATGATGTATTATAGCATCTTTAGACAAGATGGGACTATACCATTTGCTAAACTACTATTTGTGATACATAAAATTATTGGGCCCACAACATCTAGAACCTGGAGAAGAAGACGAGAAGGAATGACATCTAATAAGCAAGTAGTCGGTCTCAGCAGGTACTGAACATAGACTGTAAAATCTACAAGATCAGAAAGAGAGAGAGGTTCAAAATTAGAAAAATATGCAGAGCAAGGAGTAAATTCTATAGAGTAAAGATCAGTAGAATCAATACTAGCTCTAATTGTCTTAATCTTCCCAGTAATTTTTTTTTAAAAAGTTGTCACAAGCTGTTGGAGTGGGGTCTGGATAAATATAAAGGATTCATTACAGAATTTTTTGTACTAAATAAAATGTTCTAAATGCTTAAGTCAGAAATTATTGCACTTTAACTGCCTTGGCCTCCCGCTGATGACTGATCATTCTATCTTTAACAATCATAAGTCAACTGAAGTTTATCTTTTTTCCACTTCCTCTGCTCTCCTCCATTTTTGTCTTAAGGCCTGGGTGCTGTCATTAAGCCATGGCTAGTATTTAACTTTAGGTGTTACTATTTAATCCCACTTCTATCAGAGCAACCGATCAAAAGCCTGGGGAGGCAGTACACTGCAGACCTATCTGACAAACAGATGGGGAAAACCGTCATGAAGCAGCTCTCCGACGGACTGGCAAGGATCGACCAAAGCCAAATCCCTGGGAAGCTTAAGGCCTGGTGCTACCAGTTTACACTCTACAGGAGGGTGATGTGGCCCCTGAAAATGAGTGAGATTCCCTCATCAACTGTAAGTAAGATGGATGGAAAAGCCAACTCATTCATCCGAAAGTGGTTGGGGTTGCCACGGTGCCTATCTGAAACCGATCTATTTGGAAAAAACATGCTGCAGCTGCCACTGCAGTCCATACAGTTGGGCTACATGCAAGAAAAGACCAGGTTGGTTCTCGAGCTGAGGGAGTCCACAGACGAGTCAGTAAAGAACGCAAATGCCAAGGTTCCTACTGGCCGCAAGTGGAATGCCCAAACCGAGGTCGACCAAGCTGTCGGTCGGCTACAACACCGGGAGATCATGGGTAGAGTTCAGGTAGGAAGAGCAGGTCTAGGATGGGGAGAGACGCCACGCTTTTGGTCCAAGGCCAATCGCAAGCAAAGGAAGGAGATGGTGGTAGCAGAGGTGACGAGGATGGAGGAAGATCGCTACAAAATCAAGGCCGTGGCGCAGGGTCGACAAGGAAGCTGGACAACCTGGGAGGGAATCATGAACCGGAACATCAGTTGGTCAGACGTGTGGAAGATCCCACAGGCAAGACTTAGTTTCCTTATTCGTTCAACCTACGACACGCTTCCCTGCCCTCGGAACCTCCACCAGTGGTTTGGAAATGAAGAATCCTGCGTACTCTGCAATGCTCCCAACGCAAGTCTCCAGCACATCTTGGCAGGCTGTAAGATCGCTCTCTCACAGGGACGCTACAGATGGCGCCACGATCAGGTCCTGAGAAAGCTAGCCGAAGTACTTGAGGAGTGTCGACAGGGTAGCAAACAACCACCATCAGCAGAGGACCCCACCATCTTTGTGTCGGAAGGAGGGGTAAGGAGAAGCACCAGATCAAGAGAAACAGCAAGGCTCTTCTCCCCCAACCAGGAGTGGGACATGAGGGCTGACCTAGATAAGCAGCTCCGGTTCCCCACGGAGATAACCACCACATCTCTCCGGCCAGACATAGTGGTGTGGTCAACCAAGGCGAGATCGACGCACCTCATTGAGCTCACTGTACCACTGGAGGAGGGGATCGAGGCCGCCTTCGAACGGAAGAAGGCCAAGTACTCGGAGCTTGCTGCCGAGTACCGGGAGGCTGGCTGGAAGACGACCATCCACCCTGTGGAGGTCGGATGCCGAGGTTTCCTTGGGGTGTCAACCATACGCCTCTTGAGGGAAGCAGGAGTGGCCGGAGGGAGGCTAAGGAGGGCAACAAAGGATCTGGCAGAGGAGGCAGAGAAAGGTAGCTTTTGGCTCTGGCTGAGGAGGAAAGATAGGTGTTGGGGGAAGAACATCTAACCCCAGATAACAGCAGCAGGGAGAACAGCTATCAGCTGCAGGGGGTGACAGGGAGACGTCCCTGTCACTGCTCCGCCACCAGGAGACGTTCCAGAATTAAAGGAGCGAAACGTCGGTGAACGGTGGTTTCTGGCTGATGACCCTGCAGCTGACCCATGGGCACTGGAGGAGGTGCGACAGGCAGCAATGCCCAGCAGGTGGTAACATCTTCCTGTGCAATTACTGAAAACACAGATCTAAGATTTCAGTAGGCCTACATGTTGTATTAAACCAGGAAATCATTGCTTTAGTACCCATATGAACAAGACATGATACTGAGGAACTACAACTCTACAAGTTTAAATGCATCTGCAAACTGAGTGGCCGTAAAAGGATTAATAGCACGTAAACGGTTTCCAAATGGCCTATAACTCTGTAGGAAATCTGAAAAAGAAACATTAAAAGTAACTGGTATTTGGTCTGATAAAGGAAAACCAACACGGGGTTGTCATACGATCAACAGGCTCCTTCAGTGCAAAAAGCAGTCTTTTCGATTGTACTCGAACACCGCCTCCCCTCCCCCCATTTTCTAAAGCGTCATTTTCTTTTATGAAAGCCACAATCTGGTTCGCAGCACATGTCCTTAGGTACCTGAAGAAGCAAAGGTGAAGAATCAAAAGAATGTTTATGTCCTCTGTCTTTCCCGTTGCAGAGACCTGTAACAATTTCTCCTATGCCAATCAGAAAGTTGCAGTCCCTTTAAAAAGTGGGCGGTGTGTGTTAGTAATTCCTAGAAAAATCCCTCATACATATTGTCAGTAGCATTTTAATTCCTGCTAATTAGTCACATTTACTGATATTTAGCATTTTTTCCTCAGCCTAACAGATGGCTGTTAGTCCTGCTGAGATTTGGCCACTCCAGCTGCCAAAACACCATTTGACTGGGTTTAGACAGAGAGGTTGAAGTTTTCTTTCATCTCAGTTGAAAGACAGATAACAATTTATTCATAATGTCTTCTAATATCTGATGCACTGTTCCGCTTCACTGAGCGGTCCACCTCTCCATTCATAAATACATAAATCTTTTGGCCCATACAGCTCATTTACGGCACAGAATTAATGTGAACACACGAGTTTGGAGTGAGAACAAGTGAGAGGGTCTTTGAGTGTTCAGAATAAACCACAGGATATGAATACAAATGCTATCCTCAACAGAGCAGAGTCAAGTGTGCTACAGTCACATCAAACAGAAGATTTATGGAATGGAAATGTGTCTCTAATGCTCCATACCATGGTTTCAGTTTCATGAGTTTTGTCCAATGTAAACCTTTAAAGAATGCATATTTTAAACATTTTTATTAGCATTATTAATGCTAACAATTTGTACAAATGACCATTTATTAATCTTAATTATTAAATACTAAAAATACATTTATTATTATTAGTATTTATACATTAAATAAATACATGAATTAATAAATACTAGCTCATTGTTAAATGTTTATTCAGAATGCATTTACAATTAACTAATGTGCATTATAGTAATATTAGTATTCATTCAATTCAGTACAATTAAAACAAAATGTTATTGCATGCATTAACCAGTTGAACCCTATTGCAAAGTGTTATTGAAATCTTAAATGCCTGATGCAGAGCTACAGTCTTACACAGGAAAAAGAGAACATGTTTGAAAGTAAGTATTTTTATTTCAGTTTGTTTCTTTAATGTTTATGCATTAAATGTGTTCGATATTATAATATATATATATACATATTTTTTTTCCTGGGACAGACACACACACACACAATTCTTTTACATTATTCTTCAAATCAACTGCATAAAGTCTGGATTGATCAATCCATACAAATGTAATCTGAAGACGGTTGTAACCTTTAGCCTGTTCTTTGTCCAAGAGCTCCTGTGTCTGCAGGACAGATGTATTCGCCACTCTCACACTGCCTCCAGCTCTGGAGCGCCTTATAACTGCTTTATTACCACCGCTGCATGCGCTGCGGGGACTGACATGAAGACGGACCGAGCCGGGTGGTCACGACCACAGGGAAACCGAACGCCGTTTTCTGCTATAGCCTAATTACACAGATCTTCAGGATCAGATAGATCGGGCTGTTATCCAGGATGTTATAGCTCATCTGTCAACCTGTGCAGAAGGGAACTGTCCCCTCAGTCGTGATTTCTGGTTCGGGTAAGCGACAAAATCGCGCTTCATTGGATGAAGAGGCCCTGAGTGGATCGACGCCTCGCTGTCAAGGCGAATCTGAGGAAATAGCTATAAAATAGTATTATTAAAGCACGTTACTCGCTTTTGCGCCTCGGATTATGTTGGCGTTTCCATGGACACATCGCGTTGATGCGCAGGTACGCGGTTACACAATCATGTACGGTGTTTTGATGCATGCTGTTGGCTATGCAACCGATATTTTAACACAAAATGTTTTATGATTCAGCAGTTCTAACGCACCACTGCATCTTGTGATTGAGTTTATTTTGAATATCACGCATTTTAGCGCGAAAATATTTTTCTAGATGTCATAAAGGTGCATTATTAGCGGGGCTGACTCGGTGGTTTAGAAATACATATCTGCTGATGAGCGGTTGCGTTAATGCAGCATTGCTGAATATCTGCAGATCATGATGTGAGAATACATGACGAAGGGAATTCCCCGTGTTATCCGATAGCGCTGCTGCATGCTGTCGTGAGGATACAGTCACGGCTCTGTGGAGCTTGTGTGCGCGCATGGGCTTCACCTGCTGATTAATTCATGATAATAACACCTTTATGTGATAAATAGGTTGCATCGCACAAGAAATCATGACGTAATACACACTTGCTGAGTAATAAAAATATATTACACATTAGGCTATTTATTTCATTTAGCCTATTTATTAAATTTTTTCCGACAGCATATCTAGACCAATGTTCAAATTTACATCGATAAACAGATTGGTAAAATGAAATTGGATGGACGATTCAATAAAACACGGAAATTCCTCATTCCCTGATCCAGTGCAAGTGTCTTACGTGTTCTTTTTGCATAAAATTAAACGACATAGGCTACGTTTCAATCAGATTTTTAGTAGCTTTAAAAGTTATTACTAAGTTAGTTAGTGTGTCTTTATAGCAAATAAACCCTAACTGAATTCGCGTTCGCGTGAGGAGGTAACCATAGCAACAGAACGCCGATCTCGATTTTTCTTTTTGAGATCAGTATCAGGCGGTATATTTGGGTTATTATATTGGGTTATACATTTGGATTAGTTATAATATATATATATATATATATATATATATATATATATAGGCTATATATCTTACATAGGCTATATTTAAAAATATATTACATAATTGGCATACATTTAGCTAAATGTGCTAAAGTAGTTGCACAAGAATTTGTGTAAAAAAAAAACTAAAAAAAAAAACCTATAGATATCCCTCAAAAAGTAAACCCTCTGAAAGCCGCTGCATAATTTGCTCCTGATTTTGATATCTTTATTGCTGATGCTGAAGTACTCCCCCTGTCATTCTACATTCATAATGCTGCATCACATTTTCAGATGCAATTGGTGGCAGAGTGAATGTTTGACTGTATTTAAACATTATCTGTGACAAATGAGAAAGACCCCTGTAGTTTATTGCCTACAACCAGTTGCAAGAAACCACTTAGGGTAAAATTAAATAAATAAAAAGTTTTTAATACATTTATGGCATTTGTTAAAAATGGGTACTGATCCATAGAAGAAAATGTTAATCAATCTTTCCAGAAGAAGCTGGGACTTCGGTGATGAGCCCGAAAGTAGCAGACTTCTGTTCAGTTATGAATTGTGCCTTAAATGCTTGCAAGATGCAAGACAAGGCCTGTTACACTGACTGGCAGTAGTGTGCAGTTGCATGTTTGTGTGTGTGAATGTGTTTGTTATATAGAGAGTGGAACAGTAACACTCCTGTGCCATTCTCTGTGCCAGCTCCCCAAGGTGCCCGTTATGTCAAGTAGCAAAGACTGCAGTAACCTCCGCTATAGTGCACAGAGGGGTTCCTGTAGTGATAGCAAACACTGAATTCATGCATAGGTGAACACAGACCTCATTTACTATTTAATGGACTGTAGATCAGGTGTCATCCGCATGCAAACACTGCAGAAACTCTCTGTGCTGACATCACCTCCTGTAATTCGCTCATACACACATGCACGCTCACTCAAGCATTTTTCAGACATGCAATACATTGTCATTCTGCAGTGTAAGACTTCTAATTCAAAGTGTGGCAAACGGCCACTGCACGTATTGCACGCACAATGCAGCGATCCACATTATATGTGGGACTTTTGGAATTCTTCTTGTTTGGTCAGATTTGTTGAATAAATAAGTTCACATTATGTTAGAGAGTGTGGAGTTTGAATGTTTTTATAACCAGCAGAAATATATTATTTAGTTTCTACAATAATACAATAAAACAATACATAATACATGATCAAACATTATAATGCTCAAAAAAATGATCTCCTTTCATCAATTTTATTAGTCTTTTTAGTAACACTATTTTGAAATCTGGAAAAGTTTTATGACATTAATTTTCCCAACTGCCCATGTCTGTGATTTATGAGGTATAAGGAGGATGGCTGAGCTGGAATGTTTTGAAAAACCAAAGATGCTGCTGAGTGCAAAGAAATGACATCCACTAATCCTCCCATTGGTCCTATTTTTACCTGAGGTGCCTTTGGAACTGAAGACCTGTCAAATGATCATAAGAGAGTGTATTTGTGGGGCACACTTTAATAAAAAATTCAAAACTGCATGGTGTCTAGACCATTATTTGGTTAGTGTCTTCATTGGTGCATCGTACTATGGTAGTTAATAAACGAGTTATATCGTTGTATGGGGAACGCATCTCAGTGTACTGCAACCAGTTCAATTCAAACTTCAATTTATGAACAAATGACTCCTATGAACTGGTTCTGTTGAATTCAGATGTTACTGGAATTTTGATGAATCCTTCACTGAATTAACCAGTGTTGTTATTGTTAACTTAATTGAAATAAAGCCGTAATAAAATACAAAATAAATATTAGATGAAAAACCTAAACTAAACATTTAAAAAAAAGAAAATTAGAAATGTTCATTGGCTGATATATTAAAGCAATATAGAAACAAAATTTGGTAGTAGAAATCACAAAAATTACTAAAATGAAAATATAAAAATATAAGCTGATTAAAAATAAAATACTCTAAATATATAATAATAAATACATAAATAATACAAAAATGACACTGGAATTAACTCTCTGAATCGGCCTGAATACTGAACTCAAAATGTAGCAAGTTATATTTACTTAAGGCTCATGAAACTTATGTCTGTGATATTAATGACTGTACATATGAAACTGTTTAGGACTGTAAAAACTTTCTCTTTACTGACATTTCTCTTTCTTTGTTCCTCTCTCTGTCTCTTTGTCATTTTCCTTTCCATTTCCCACATCACTTTCCTATTCCTCACACTTATTTCTTAGCTTATAAAGACTCTTAGATACTCTTCTTGTGTGTTTATCGATAACAATATAAGATTGTTTTGACGATATTCTCTTAGAAGCTGAGGAGTATTGTGTTTGCTAGCTGGAACCCATTGGCTAATCAATTGAAATAACTAAGCTCTTTTAGATTCATTAAAGATTAATTAAATACCTTATTCTCAAACCGTTAAGGTCAATATCCATTATCATAGCCTAGTGCTCTAACAGACGACAGGCCAGAAGAGTTCCCATCTGGTCCTTGACCTATATGTCCAGACAATTACATTTCAGGCCAGGTCTTATCCAGGATTCAGGTCAAGGTTCTCGATCATTCCGGCCTTTTCCTCAAATCCCCATTCAAACACATCCAGTCCATAGACGTGCTTCCACACAGTTGCCACCATTCGCCCCTCTCTCGCCACAGCAGTTCTCCCGTCCAGGCCCCGCTCCAACCCGGCGTCAGGCATGGCGCCTCAGGGGCGGGATCACCTGGCCACACGGGAGACTGCAGGTCGTAGACGGAGCCCAAATGTGCGGCACACACTCAGCCCGGACAACCTTCGGAGCTTAGCTGAGCGTGGTGGGGCCGAGCAGGCTGGAGTTGGACTCCTCCGAGCCAACAGTGATACAGACCTGGTCAGTTCTCAAGGGCGATCCTCACTCACAGCTTCTACTTTAGAGTTCACTATGGGCCGTGGCCAGAACTTGGTCATCTCATGGGATATCAAGGAAGAGGTGGATGCCACAGACTGGATTGGCCTGTACCACATAGGTAAGGCTTGGTGTTATTGTGATCTAAATTCCAGTAGTTCTGGGTTTTGCGATATGAACCAGTCTGTTTGCTCTACCTTACACAAATAAAAACTTTTATGTGCAATTAACTAATAGTTTTCAAATGAGTTTGAATCGATTTAATCCAGTCATGTTGTATGAATTTAAATTAATTTTGTCATGTTTAGATATCTAAGTCCTCATTTTATTTAGTCATGAATTTATCAGTTTTTATATTTGTATTTTTGTTGCTTGTGATAATGTGCCAAGCTGTGGGTTTGTAGTCTCAAAAGGAGACGACATCTTGTAACATGCAGATGGCTTTCAAAACGAGATTTGGGGTCCTTTTATCATGAGGGTGACACTCAATAGCCACATATTTAGAGAAAGAGATGTTAACTACACATGATGCCACATAACTCAAAAGGGGTGACAAACAACACCACCAGTGATATTTTGTCAGGCCAGCACACATACTGGGAACCAGTTAATAAAAAATATTTAGTACATTTTTAAATAATCAAAATAAAACTCGCACAAAAAGTATTCTCGTCGCTTCATAACATTAAGGTTATGAAGGTCATAAAGTTGCAGTCTATGTGGAGGTAAGAAGGCAAAAATATCTTAATTTGTGTTCCAAAGATGAACGAAGGTCTTATGGGTTTGGAACGACATGAGGGTCAGTAATTAATGACAGAAATATCATACTTGGGTGAATTAACCCTTTAATATCTTTGTTAAGGTGTGATACAAAGTTTAAAAATTGCTCACAAAAGTACAGACTACAACAGAGAAACACAATATAGTACAAGTAGAATTTAAATTAAAAGCAGCAGGACTCCACCAGACATGCTGTTAGGCATGTTTACTAGATGATGGCAGACAGATCCAATCACCCTCTGTGCCCTTCAGTCCTCATCCTCAAACACTAAGATCACAATTCTCACTGTCATGTAAAAATATGAGACCGGAGCAAAGCGATACATCTGGGCACAAAGCCACTAACCATCGACTTGAAGGCCAGCAAAACTTCTTTACCTGCACAAGGGTCTTATCTCTTGGGGGCTCCAGGTTTCAACGACTAAGCAAACATTCAGTAATGGCCTCAATGTAATCTCTCCCACTGGTTCATTAGTAGATGACTAATGCTGTGCAATGTAATTTACAGAGCCACTGTATATTATATTCTGCTTGTAAAATTTGTCATCCTTGTGAGGCACTGTTCTGCTAATTTGGTTTATTCTCCTGTGCAGAGGTGGTGGACAAAGTACACAACTTCCTTACTTGAGTGAAAGTACAGATAGGCCTACTGGTCAAATATTACTCTGTTACAAGTAAAAGTTCTAAAGACATATTTTTACTTAAGTAAAAGTACAGACGTACTTCTTTTTAATAGTAGCCTACTTAAGTATCAAAAGTAAATGTCAAAGCATTGTTTTATTATTGTTGCATTGTGTAATACTTACAGTACCTATGCCTCTGATTCTTTGCCTGCCTACCCTCATATCAATATCAAATGTATTTCTAGAACACAGTTCCAGTAGTGGGATTGAATGTGAGATTGAATAAGTACACTCAAAATCGTCCACAATGGTTTCGGACACCTACATGGCTGTTCCCTCAAATAGTGCCCTATTTAAACTTTTTTGGCTTTTAGTATGAATATAGCCTTATAAGTGTGCTCCAAAACAATGACAAAATTCCCATTTAGAAGACCAAACCCAACGTTGAAAATGAAAATGAGGTTGATGTCAGAATCCAACGCCAGATTGAAATTACTCTCCAACATTGGACAGACGTTGTATTGTGGTTGAAAATGAGAATCGGGTTGACGTCAGAAACCAACATCAGTCGGGTTCTGACGTCAACCCGACTTTCATTTCCAACCAAAATGCAACCCCTGCTGTCAAATCATCCCCTGACTGACGTTACTATACCTTCTACTCAAGGACCTTGACAGAATTGTAGTGGAGTAAAAAGTAGCCTACCATATTTGTCTTTCAAATGTAGTGAAGTTAAAGTAAAAAGTTTTCCAGAAAAAATAATAAAGTAAAGTACAGATACTCAAAAAGCGTACCTAAGTACAGTATTCAAGTAAATGCACTTTGTTACTGTCCACCTCTGCTCCTGTGCCACCCATCTGCCACCTTTAAAATGTCCAAAACAGATTCTATAAACCGTTAGACATTTTTTCAGATGAGACCTGTCCATCAAACATGTGGGACTGCAAGAACCGTGGGGTTAACGGTACACAGTGTGGTCACATTGTCTGGAGGCTGGAGGCAGGGTCGTACTTCCTTGAAGGTGAGTGACACAACTTGATGTTATAAAATATTTCATGGACTAGGAGGTTAGACAAAAGTAGAGATACATACTTTTGTAATGGCATGCACTTGTTTTACATTCTTGATGCTCAGACATGTTAGAAATTACTACGGTTATAAATATGAAATGTAATTTTCTTTTTGTTATAAAATATCATGCTGACTCTACAAATATGCTGGGCAGATTTGTTATGCTGGCACTCTTCTGGTTATCTCTTCTAGCTGAGACAAGGATCTGTTTTAAATACTACCATGGAGTCAGTGGTGCGCTGAGAGCCACAACTCCCTGCATCACAGTCAAGAACCCCAGAGCCTCGGTCAGTGTGTGTGTGTGTCAACAGCAGATATTATTCCTGTGTAAATAGACAGCATTATAGCTCACAAAAACACATGGTGTGATAAAGTGCTTGGCTTTTTTTAATCCAATTTAGTGTAAAACAGTTGTTAGTCTGATCAAATATTAAATCATACAAGATATAATAAAACACTTCTGGTGATTCATTACTGGAAATGGAAGGTCAAGCACATGGCATTGTGGGATGAGGTAAACAACACAATGTGCTGTGGTTTTACAGATAATTTCCATTATACAATGCATCATACCATCATACACATGACGTGAACACAGCATGGAACAATACCATTCAAATTTTTGGGTCAGTAAGATTTTTTTTTTTTTTTTTATAAATTATGTTGCACTAAATTGATCAAAATGATAGAAAATGTATTTATAATGTTATAAATATTTTCATTTTAAATAAATGCTGTTCTTTTGAACTTTATTTTCATCAAAGAATCTATATATATATATATATATATAGAGGCCTATATATATATATAAATATTATAATAGAAAAGAGTTTCACAATATTACTATTTTTAAGGCCCGTTCACACCAAGGACGATAAAGATATCGTTCTAAAAATCATTCTAAATAGAATAGTCCACACGATAATGGTAACAATATTGTTGGAATCACTTTTTCAAAACTATTTTTTCCAACTAATAAATTATAAAAACAAGACAGCCAATCAGAATCCATCCTGCTTTAAAGAGCTCGAGCATTTAAAGTGACAAAACTGCAGCATGGAATATCGCCCGTTGGTGTGGGCACTAATATAATAGTTAGTATAGTTAGTTATTTTTTAGTGTTTTTATATGTTATTTTGATCAAATAAATGCAGCCGAGGAGAGCATATTCTAAAATCTTGCCGACCCCAAGCTTTTAAATAACGTTAGTGTTTTGGTAACGTTAGTTTTTTTTATTTCAAACATAGTTTTCACTGTTTTTAATTCAAAAACAATTGTCGTAATTATACTGTCTTTACTGGCTCACAATATCTGTGGAATATTGAACATGTTTACTAGCAGATGATATTATAAACAGTACTACTGTAGCTGTCTTGTTCACTACAGGTCAGATTGGTAAAGGTTACACAGTCTATGAGGTGCTAAGTGCTAAATGGCTATTTGACTGCAGCCTCACATCATGTATGTTTGGAGGTCGGATATTTCTCAGTTCCCATAAGTGCAGGCCATTTATCATGTCGTTGGATGGATGTAGAGGAATCAGTCATATGGGAACTCTCTCCTCAACACCTGCCTTCCTGTAGAGTTTCTACTCTATTGAAACACACTTGAGCCAGATAATCACTCTTGGACAGTATATTTCTGTGTCAAACCTGAGGATACAGGATGACTACAGTGAGGAATTATTAATGATAAACTATTAAGATACTAAGTTATTATTAATTATTATTTATCACTGTAAGTCTATGTTCAGAAGAAGGCTATAGGTGTATGTAGCCACTCATATGTCAACGATATCTTCTATAGGTCGACGGTCAAGATGAAGGACAACAAGCTTCAGAGAGCAGTCGAAAATTGGTCAGCTTTACCCTATCAGGTGTGTAAGAGACAAAGAGGATTTAACTAAATGTCAATGACTTATGACGTTATCCTACTCCATAGATGTATCCGTGCGGTTTACTAATTACTGCAGTTATTACTAATTAGACTGTTGTTTGTTTTAGATATCCGGGCTGTGGGGCTGAAGAAGGGGATGTTTTTTAACCCAGACCCTTATTTGAAAATGAGCATTCATCCAGGCAAGAGAAGTTGCTTTCCGACCTTTTCCCATCATGGCCAAGAGAGACGATCCGGCATTACAACTAACACTACTAATCCTGTGTGGCATGGAGAGGTGACACACACACACACACACACACACAAGAGACACATTCTTGTTCACAGTCATGAACTGAAAGTTGATGATGTGTTTGTTTTCAAATTCTCTCTTTGCTTTTCCATGTAGAAACACACTTTTGTGGCTCTTATGACAGACGTATTAGTGATTGAGATTAAAGACAAGTTTGCTAAAAGTCGACCAATTATTAAACGCTTCCTGGGTCAGTTGAACATTCCGGTGCAGATGCTGCTGGAGAGACATGCGTCAGGGTGAGTGTCATAGTGATCGTCACCACACCACAATGTGTGATCAGTAATACACACTTTGGGGTTAGTAAGATTTTTTTTAAAGAAGTTATTACTTTTATTCAGCAAGGATGCATTAAATTGATCAATAGTGACAGAAAAAGCCATTAATAATGTTACAAAAGATTTATCTTTCAAATAAATAACTGTTTTCAACGTTGATAATAAAAAGAAGTGTTTCTTGAGCACCAAATCAGCATATTAGAATGATTTCTGAAGGATCATGTGACACTGAAGACTGGAGTAATGATGCTGAAAATTCATATTCAATTATATATTAAAATATAACCATATAGAAAACAGCTATTTCAAATTGTAATAATATTTCATATACATATTTTCTACTATTTTTATTACTTTTGTACTGTATTTTTGATCAAATAAATTAAGCCTTAGTGAGCATAAGAGACTTCTTTCAAAAACATTAAACAAATCTTACTGACCCCAAACTTTTGAATGGTTGTGTGTCAATTAATACATGTTTATATGGCTACAGGAACCAATCACTGAGCTTCTCTCTATGCCGTCGTTTGCCCACTGATCATGTGAGCGGTCAAATGCACTTTAAAGTGGATATCACATCTATAGGCCAAGATGGTGAGATCACATACAAACACATTTGGTCTGGCTCAGCTTATAGCTACTAATTTAAAATGGATTTGAAATAACTTGTACCCACCTCTCATAGATGTTTCCCATGAGACGATTCTGGGGGCAACAGCCCTCAATGGAGCTCCTGGAACCCCTTCAGATGATGAAGAGCTGCCCCGTCCTCTCCAGGTCCCATCAGCAGGCCCTTCACCCACTGGCTCCCTGGGTTCCCATAGAAATGGGGAAGGCAGGAGCATACCATCCCCAGACACAGAAATGTATGGAGCCACCCTGGATGATGAGGCCCCTTCTTCTCCAGACCTGCTCCAGGGTTCCTTCAGTGAGCAGCTTGATTCCATTGAGGCCCCTAAGGGCCCGGGCGATAGGCCTTTTGGGGCAGCTTCTCCCAAACTGCGATCCAGCTTTCCCACACACACACGCCTCAGCGCTATGCTGCACATTGACTCTGATGAAGATGAAGAGAGGTCCGCTGTTACGGAAGTCACGCATCCAACATTTAATGGTGTTTCAAGGACTCAACAAACACCTCCAAAACCACCAATTACACAACCTGCATGTGAAGGATCTGTAGAGGAACCCCCAGAAGAGGCTGGGCTGGAGTCTGAAATAGAGACTCTGAATATAGAAGCAGAGGTGCCTCCTGAGCCTGAGGTCATGCCGAGTTCAGTCGCCCCTGAGGTGGAAACTGCCAGTTTGATGGAGAGGCAAGAGGAAGAGGAAGTGGAGGCAGAGGAGGAGGAAGAGGGACTGGCACCCAGTGAAGAGCTGGCAACTGAAGTTGATATTTCTTCAATGGCATCTGACTGCTGCCCGGTCCCTACATCTGCTTCTCAGGTCAGTTGAAGATTTACTGAAAGGAAAATCTGCAATTTAACTGGGTCAATGACATACAGTATAAGAGTGTCCAGATCGTTTATAAATCTAGTTTAAAGCAGTGTTGTCATTGTTAGCTAAAACTAATAAAATAGTTTTAATTCAAAAATAAAATATAAATTGATAAAATATGAAATATAAATAGATGAAATTTAAAATGACTAAAACTGAAACAAATCAAATATATCAAATTATTTAAAAAATAACGAATAAAAATTACAAAAGCACATAACAAATTACTAAAGCAAACTAAACTTAAAATGAATACTGAAAATATAAAAATAAATAAATACTATGATAGTGTATAAATAATAATAAAATTGAACTTGTTGTTAGATCTTTGTGTTCTTGTTGGAACACTTGTTCAAGAAAAAAATTCAGTTTAAAGACTCCACAACTGTCATGCTGTGTAACCATGAAGTAAAAAGTAATAACATATTTATTTACACAATGAATGTGTATTTTAAAATATATCTTATTAATTGCTCCACAAGTTGCTCCACTTGCCTTGTCATAAAAAGGACAAATTCCCTAATATTTTTTTCTGCATTTTTTGTTGGTGGCACCACATGACTTTTAAAGAAATAATAATAAAAGATTGTGACAAACTCCATAATATAGTTTGTTATTCTGAAATGTCATTCTTTTAAGGAGTATTTATTTTTGGATAAATGAGTATTTTTTTATGATATCAGGACTGCTTAACCACCTGATATTTTTTATATATGCCCTAAAAATCTAAATAAAAAAAATAAAAATCATATGATTAGAAATAGAAATCTATGAACTGCTTTGTATTGTACATTGTATTACTGTATTGTATTATATTGTATGTATTTATGATTAAATTAATTGGTAGGGAAACATAATGAGTGTCACATCATCATCAATCCAACTGGTTCTTGCACTAGACCTGAAATGTTTGCTGCTAATAAAAGCAGAGAGAGGTGAAGGTAATCTTTCTCTATGAACTTGATCTTTATAGGAGGCAGAACAGGGGGCAGAGGCAGCCATTGACCCAGGGGGAGAAGATCTTTCAGATGATCCACCCACAATTTATGAAGTTGCTGAGACTGCTGAAGAAACCCACCCAACTAATGAGCAAGTGAGGGACGCTCCAAAACCAGAACCATCAGCCAATGAGGAGGAGGAATGTGAAGATGTGACCGAGGACACAATGTCCAGAAGGTGGAGCCTGGAGGCAACAGCAGGTGTGTCACAGGAGGACGAGGAAGAGGAGGAGTTAATGCCATCAGGTGACGGAGAATCTGGGGATTCTGAGACCTTCGTTACCGAGACTGAATCAGAATCAGGTATTCACCGAACCATTGAGCTGGCCTTCGCTTGACAATTAATTTTAAATGGAAAATGAATCAAATATCAGTTTGGAAATACATCCTGATTCTGTATGTAAAATGTTGCACAGGTGTCCCTCAGATAAATGGAGACCAGCGTGTTAGTTCCCTGCCATCTGTAAGACAAGACGTCCACAGATACCAGCGTGTGGACGAGCCCTTACCTCCCAGTGAGTGTGTGTATGTGTTTCTGTACATTCGCATGTGCTTTTGCTGTTGTTTATGTGTCTGTAGATACTTTGCTTATGTGTGTTTGTTTGAAAAGGCAATTTCGCCAACTAATGTCATTTAGGCTTGATGACTCAATCAGGCACCATCACATCCTACTCTCCATTCTCATTTCCAACCTTTCTTTTCTCAGACTGGGAGGCTCGTATTGACAGCCATGGCCGTATCTTCTTTGTGGATCATGTGAACCGCACCACCACGTGGCAGAGACCCACTGGCCCACCTGCCCCACAGGGTCTGACCCGCTCCAGCTCCATACAGCAGATGGAGCAACTCAACCGCAGGTTAGAGCTCATGAATATTGAAAAAAAAATAATAAGAAGAAATATAATCATTTAAATAATAACAATTAACCTATGGCTAAGCCACGCCCCCTCCACTCACTCGGTCAAACAGTCAACATTTGGTGACAGGCGCTGTGGCAGCTGTCACAGTAGGAGACATTTCATGGCAATTGATGATTTTGGAGACAGAAAGATTATATATCATCTCAAAGTCACCAAAAGGGCCTTAACTATGCATTGGAGGGTTATATTAATATTTGTATTGTTGAGAAGGTCGATGAAAAGCTTCAGCTCCAGGCAAAAATGTACAGGTCACAGTGTAAACGTGATAAACCACATCTCGTTGCCATCACCATCTCAGACAACAAGATAGAGGATCAGCATTGTTCATGCACTGCAGTATTTACATGAATCATTCAGCACAACATTGCTAACATTTGTTATCTCGGTTATTTACATACGTTTATATACGTTAATGAAGGTGTATTCACACCTGCCTTGTTTGGTTCGATTGAATCGAACTCTAGTTCGTTTCCCCCCTTGGTGCGGACCTTTTGGGCAGGTGTGAATACAGCAATCGAACTCGGGTGCGGACCAAACAACTAGTGATGTTAGGTCTGACACCGACGCTCCGAAGCTTGCTTCAAACTCGATCGGTCCTTGCAATGAACCACTGCTTCGGAGCTTGTATCATTACGTCACTAGTCACGTGAAAATGACGTCTGAAGCAAACACACTGGTTCACTCCTGTAGTGAACCACCTGACTGCTTTGACAGCCCAATCCAGTGTTGACAGATTTGAAACCTGGCGGCTGTATTTCTTATAAAAGTGAAGCCAAACCATGGCAACACCGTGGGTTGTAGTAGTCCGTGTTTGGACTGGCGTTATTGTTGAGGAGAGTGGATTTTATTTTTTTATTATTAATTAGAGAACATATGAACATTGTTACATAAAAACATGCATCAAAGACAGAAACTTCAAAAACCCTCTGCTACATTATACAAGTACAACCAGTTACACAAGCACATCCTTTTCAACATACAAAAATAAACATTATGGAATTTTATTGGTTTTCATAGGAATGTTATTGGTTGTAATGGGAATTATAGTGGTCTCTGTGTTGGATTATATTGATAGGGGCATTAAACCCTAATGGAATATGTCCCAAACACACTACAACAAATAAATTATTTTATTTTATTCTTTTATTTATTATTTTATATTTTAATTCTATTATCATTTTAATAGAAACCATTAGAATTTCTGTGATGGTTTCCAACTTTTTTTAAGCTGGTCTGATCTTCTGTCCTTGTCTAAAGAAATAATTACACACACACATCATGCTTAATGTTTTATTCTCAAGGTGAACACATGGAATTCATCAGTATCTGTAAAATTCACCAACATAAATGAGTTTCACAGCACTAAGACTGTTTCAGCTTTAATCGCCTCGGTAAACACGTAATAAACGGGGCGTTAACATAAGCCTACTTGCATTTTATGGTTGTCAGCTTTGTTGCATTACATTTACTTCACCAGGAGATGGTGCTGCAATTTCTATCTGAATGAAGCTTCGAGTAATGAACCATTTTCGACACAATTGTATCAGAAAGCAATAATGCTTCGAAACGCTTCATTTGGCCATCACTACAAACAACCGAAACGAGACCCAGCTGAAGAGGTGGTCTCGGTACGGTTCCAAACGAACTCTGGTACGGTTCGTTTACGGTGTGAACATGAACCGACCCAATTGCAAGAAAGCACTGCGCTTTTGAGTTAACAGGCTTCCGTAGTCGGAGATTTTGGCTTAATGGTTTGTGTTATTGTTGTTCAAGTGCGAAAGAGAATTCCATTCCGGCGCGCTGTTTGGCCACACGCTGTTGCGCGTCTTTCCGCGCGTCGTGTGTGCATCATTGGAATGGAATGAATGAATGAGTGTGTGCATCAGGACATTCACATACAGAGCGTTCTCTTTAGTCTAATCGCGCATAGATGCAAAAAAAGCTTTTGCAGTTCATATAATGTAACGATAGTTACAATACAAGGATGATGCTGCGTTAAACTGGACAAACTTAATCGCAAGCGTTAACATTGACAGCACTTGTCAGCAGTATACAATAAGAATCTCATTATTTGAATGTGTGAACATAGCCCCTCTCTATGAATGAAAACTTTATACCTTATCCGTCTTCTGCGCAGTTTCTTCATATTGCGTTTGTACAGAATAACACAAAATTAGTCAAATAACAAATATTGCAGTACGAAATATCTCCATGCTGAGCCTTTTTTGCACTTCCTGATTTCCCTACTTGAGAATCCTTGTCCAATGAATGGACGGTCGTGTGGTTTTGTTTACAAATTTTGGTTCACTTGCAAAAAGAGCAGTGTGAAAGCGAACCGTACCAAGAAAAAAAAAAAAAAAATGTATTTGGTCCGGACCAAAGCAAGTGAACTATCGGACTGGTGTGAATACACATGATGTAGGCCAACAACGCAGCTAGAAGCTAACGTTACGTTAGAGGTGTTAAAGATTACGTTCAAATACGTTGTTTGTCATCCTTGTTTAAAGCTCCAGTCGGCAAGTCTGGCAGATTGAGTGGATTCAGGAAAATGTTGAATGTTTACAACTCTCATGCCCCTCCCCCACTATCAACGGATACCCTCCAATCCAGTTCATGCTCGTCAGTGCGTGTGCACCAGATTTTCAGTGAACGCCAGGGCTCTCAAGTGTCACGCATTGAGCGTGACAGTCACTCATTTCGGTCTTTTGTCACGCTCTCCCGCCACACATTGTTTTTCTCACGCTGAAAAACTATTTGAAATATATTTAATATGCCGCAGCGCCCAAAACTCTGGCCGCGCCGCTCTCACTGTGGAACCGGCATGAATCAAGCGTGTTTCCTCTGGTGTTGTTCGTCGAGCTACATAATAGCCAATCAGAAAATAGCACTATTGTATCTGGGTAAGATTTAACGCAACCAATGACAAAAATGTATCCAACCCCCCATCGGCTGGGTGTCACTCTTACCTGTCTTTAAAACTTGAGAGCCCTGGAACGCGCCCGTCTCATCAGCATCCATGGAGTATTTGGAGGTATGCTGTCCTGGCTAATCTACCGATAGATTGCAATTGCTAACGTCATTTATACTCTAAATGAGCGTACTTGATTTTCCGCCATCACTCTTCGTTACTGCCGAACTTCCGCGAACTTCAGGCGTGTGCATGTGATTGTAACGTGCGCGAGGGGTGGCGTGTGCCCGATCTGTGATTGACAGTCAGATCTCACACCCCCCTGCGCTGATTGGACATGATGAACCGGGAGCTGTGGATTTTGCAAAACAAATAACACGCTCCAGGTGGAGTTAGAAGCTCGGGTTTTTTTCTAAAACCACTTTATTTATGTTGTTCTGTCAGATTATAGTGTCAATTTAACTGAATATGATCAAAAAAATGTTGCCGACGGCAGCTTTAATTGTTGAGGTTGAGATGTTTGGGAAAGGGTAAAAAATACACACCGTCGCCCAGCCTCTCGGGATAGCTACCGAGTGTCGGAGTTGCATGTACCCCATGCACACCGTTTGACCATTTTAAACTTAAAATGACAAGAAGAAACATATAAAAATGAATGAAAACTGACTAACTGCAATGCATTTCAATGGATGTGGAAGCAGAGAATGTCCGAGTGTATTGGGTTAGCTATGCGCACTGATTGGCTCATCGCGTTTGGGGGCGTGGCTTAGCCATAGGTCAATTGTGCACATTCACTCATTAATGAGAAGTTACTGATCAGATACAATATGGTTTTAGTTGAAAAATATTAAGTTATGACTGTTTTATAAGCTCACGTTCCACTTCCACTGGATCAAAACTAACCCTGGAATAATATGAAAGGTGTATACACTATACAGTAGGAGGGTTAATGCATTACCGAAAGTGTGATTGCTGTATTTTCTTTCTGGCAGGTATCAGAGTATTCGTAGGACAATGACCAGTGAAAGGTCTGAGGAACCGAGAGTGGATGATCCTCCTCCTGAAGAAACAGACCTGCTGTCCCACTCCATCTCTGGTAAGCTGTCAATCAAAGTAAGAACTACAGATTATAGTGTCTGGAAAAGTGAATGAATGCTCTGCTGAGATGAATGTAAGATGACTGAGGCTGGGCAGAATGAGAGGTTGTTGTTCAGTCTGTGTTTGTTGATGTGTCTGTTCTCATGTAGAATACCGGCGGGACGGCTTTATGGGTCAAGCCAGCTCACGTTCTCGTCTGGCTTTGCTGCTTCAGTCTCCTGGTGCAAAGTTCCTCTCCAGTCCAGACTTCTTCTCTGTTCTGCATTCTAATCCTGTGAGCTAAAGCACACAGAGACACAGATATCAGTGCTTACACGCACACCTGAAACTAAGTCATTGATAATGTATAGCCGGGCATTATTACAAAACTACAGAGCCCCGCACATTACATGTAGGGGAAACAACTAGATTGTGGCCAAAAAATCTCTCATTTTAGATCAAATTTGGCCAGAATATAACTAAATTAAACAGAGGGAATGAATTAGTAACTATAGTTAACTAAAACGATTTAATAAAATAATAAAATGAATTAATGAGTCATTGGAGCAAATTCTTAATTTTTTCTTTCCTGTGTCAAATGCGTGGCTCTGTACAAAACAAACCCAGATGGCAAGTGCAAAACCTAAGTAATGACGACGGACTCAACATTATCTAGCTTATTACATGGCTACTTTCCAAAAAAATACAGGGACATGAAATATTGAATTTTTAATTGAATGATGATCTTACTTGTAGATTTGCTTAAAGCTTGTGCTATAAACAAAATAGTCTATTAGAACATAACACTGCCTAGCAACAAGACGGATGCTGCAGCACTATTACAATTTTAATTTATATTATTATTATTATTAATGTTAATGTATTATTAATATCCAAGTAACAGTTTTTTCGGGACTACTTAGCAAACATATTTAGCTACATTGTAAAATGTCTTCCACTATTTTAAGATCTGTCTCACCCATGTCTTTGTCTCTTACATAGTTTTTCTGAGCAATGTTTTCATCTTATTGCTTTAAATGGGGACTCCTGAGCTTCTAGACATCTAGCAAAGGTTTTATGCTCACTGTTTATTTTCAAATACAGAAGTCCTCTCAGATAATTTTTACTGTATTCGGTAGCTGTGTTTTGCCAATTTGCTACTCCAAATTGCTATGAAATTAGCAGTGGCATTTTGCAACAGATAATGGTCAAGTATCCAATGAGAATGAAATATTCAGAGGGGCATGCAATAATTTTGACACATTTCCTGATTAGATCTCTTTATTTCACTTTCAGAGTGCCTATCGCATGTTCACTAGTAACACGTGTCTGAAGCACATGATCAGTAAAGTTCGACGGGACGCCCAACACTTCGAGCGGTACCAGCACAACCGGGACCTGGTAAACTTCCTCAATCTGTTCTCCAACAAGCAGCTGGAGCTTCCACGGGGCTGGGAGATGAAACATGACCAAACTGGAAAGGTGTGTGTGTGATTTCTCCTTCTGTAATTGTGCTCTTGTTCTGTCTTAGGGGCCTTAGACCTGCATAATAGTAGTCTGACAGAACAAACTGTACAGACAGAAACTGAAATCTGAGTTAGTATGTTCATGTAGGGCTGTCTGGTTTTCTTCTTGATGCCCAATTAGTGTTTCTGACAGGAAACAATGAACAGATTCTTTTCTTATTTATTCTTAAGGGCCCATTAGTTTTGTGTTTCATAGACAGCTGTTTGCTCAAAGCCTGTTTATGTGTTTATGCATCACAGGCCTTCTTTGTGGATCATAACTGTCGTGCCACAACGTTTATTGACCCGCGGCTGCCCTTACAGAACTCCCGGTCCAGCGGCCTGCTAGTTCACCGACAGCACCTGTCCCGACAACGCAGCCACAGTGCAGGAGAGGTAAATATGGTACATATTTCAGTAATACATTGTGCACTAACCACATACATACCAACCACTTCCATTCAAAAGTTTGGGATCAGTATGCTTTTTCTTTAAAAATAAATTGATACTATTATTAAGCTAGGAACTAAAGCGTGTCACGTTTTGTCGAGGGAACTAAACAGGAACAGCTGGACAATGATTAACTAATGAGTGACCAAGGTGGAAAACGAGGAAATCAGGAGAACAGGCAAAGTGGAAACAGAAAAAGTCACCAACAGAAACGTAAAACAGAACATGATTGTGACAGACGCATTAAAATGACAAAATTGACTGTTCTTTTGAACTGTCTGCTCATCAAAGAATCATAAAAAAAGGTTTCCACACAGTTTCTACAAAAATATTAAGCAGCACAACTGGTTTGTACAATGATACTAATAAGGAATCTTTCTTAAGCACCAATTCAGCATATTAAAATGATTTCTGAAGGATTGTGACACTGAGGATTGGAGTAATGACTGCAGAAAATTCAGCTTTGCCATTTCAGGAAAATGTTAAAAAATATATGAAAATAGAAAATATTTAGCAATATTACTGTTTTACTGTGTTTTTGATCAAATAAATACAGACTTGGTGACCATTTAAGAGACTTCTTTCAAAAACATTTCCAAACCCAAACTTTTGAACGATAGTGTAGAGTAAAATAAAGAGATACAGAAAAGAATGTTTTGTCAATTTGTCAGTTGCGTTGTTTCTATTTCTCTCCATTCGCACTGGGTAGGCCTATCTCTGCCCATCTCATTGCTCCTGCACGTCTTTTTAATGTGCTGTCTATTGTTTTCTTACATCTAATAAACTCAAATGGGGGCATTGTCGTTAGGAAATTACACTATGAAATTGTGAAACCTCCTCTGATGTTTCAGGTAGCAGATGACTCTCGCTCTCCGAGTCCTCCTGTCCGGGGCCGGTCATCAAGAAACAGTCAGTACCAGGACATGGTGCCTGTGGGTGAGTGTGTGCGCTCACATTTACACAGTGTGACACTGTCATATCATCACATGAGTACAGACACATTACACATCTGTGTTTTCACAGCTTATAATGAGAAGATTGTCGCCTTTCTGCGACAACCCAACATTTTTGAGATTCTGCAAGAAAGGCAGCCAGAGCTCGTGAGAAACCACTCCCTTAGGTACATATTTCTGCAGTTTTATGTTTCATCCACAGATGGCAACAGAGAGCCCAGAATTTCATACTGCACCTTTGAGAGATTGTGCTGTAGTTATTTATAATTTTCATGCTACAATAGCTAAATGCTAAAAGTTTTTCATATGTTTTATGGTTGTTTCAGAGAGAAGGTCCAATTCATCCGCAATGAGGGGCCAGCTGGGTTGACCCGTCTGTCTAGTGATGCAGACCTGGTTATGTTGCTCAGGTTAGTGTGTGCACCTTTTGCAACATGTTTAATTACAGCTAACCGTGTGCCTGCCTGTTTCCCTTTGCCTGAGATACGCATGCATTTGAGTGTGTATGTACAGTACACTACCATTCAAAAAAAAAAAAAAAAAGTAATACTTTTATTCCACAAAGAAGCCTTACATTGATCAAAAGCTACTGTAAAGACACTTATATTGTTACGAAAGATTTCTATTTAAAATAAATACTGTTCTTTTGATCTTTCTATTCATAAAAGAATCCTGGAAAAAAAAACGTATCACAGTTTCCACAAAAATATTAAGCAGCACAATTATTTTCAACATTGACAATAGTAAGAAATGTTCCTTGAGCACCAAATCAGCATATTAGAATTATTTCTGAAGGATCACGTGACACTGAAGACTGGAGTAATGAGTCTGGAAATTCAGCTTTGCATCACATTAATGCATTCAAATAGAAAACAGTGATTTTAAATTGTAATAATATTTTTGTTTTGTACTGTATTTTTTAATTAAATAAATGCTTCCTTGGTAAGCCTTGATTTCCAAAATACTGAACATATTTTCAGACCCCAAACTTTTAAATGGTAGTGTATATGTACAAAAAAGAGAAAAAAAAGCGGTGTACATATTTTATGATGGCCTGACTTTGTACACCTAGCTCAGGTTAGAATACACATACCTGTTACCTGGCCCTCTCTCCTTGCAGCCTGTTTGAAGAGGAAGTGATGTCGTATGTGCCGCCCAATGCCTTACTGCTCTCCAGCTACTGTCATGCCTCCCCACAGAGCTCCCCTGGTGAGAGGTCACATGACCCGGACTCGCATCTAAATACATAATTTCCTTTCCCCCCCTTTTTCCTGCCTTGTGTCCTCCATTACAAGACAAAATAATGAGAAGTGGAAGACCCTGTGGACTAATTTGAATGTTTACCTGATCACGCATGTTTAAAACAGTTATTCTGGTTATAATATATGCTTTTAAATGTTGGAAGAGCCTTGCATTGTGGATACTAGATTTGCCAAGTCTGTTTCATCTCAATTTTCGTTCCAGTTATTCACATCTTCTCTTGCTCATAGGAACTCCACGGGCCAATGCTCGAGCCCCTGCACCCTACAAGCGTGATTTTGAGGCCAAACTAAGAAACTTCTACCGCAAATTAGAAACCAAGGGCTATGGGCAGGGGCCGGGAAAAGTGAAGTAAGTTCCATTTTAATTTTTTTTGAGGAAATAGAGATAAATCTCTACTATTCTCTCTTATATTCAACAAGCAGCTAATGTTCACTTCTCATTCTATCCCTAATCTTGTGTGTGCAGTTCAGTGGTTGGTTGAAAGCATTGAAATCCTGTCTAATTGAGTTAGAGCCCAGCTAACAGGGAACATTCTCAGAACTTTGGCTAACTTTTTGGCAAGGTTCTCTCAAAGTTATGAACAAACATTCCACCAGTAACAGACTTTCTTGCAAATTCAGAGTTTATAATTCTGACTTCATTTCTTGCAATTCTGACTTTCCACAACAGAATGTTCTTTCAAAGTTATCTGATGATTTAATTATGTTCTCAAAACATGAGCACAAAAACCTTTTTTTCGTACATTATTTTCATTGAAACGTTTTAGTTGGACATTCATCTAAAAACTTGTTTTTAATACTTGTTACTTTTGAATGTTCTCTGAACAATCTGAAATGTTTCCATAATGTTTGCAAAATGATAAAATGGAATGTTCCCTTAATGTTTGCATAACCAAGAGAAAAGGTTTTAAAATAAATACTGTACCTGTCAAAATGTTTTTCAAAGAAATCTCTTATGCTCACCAAGGCTGCATTTATTAATCAAAAATACAGTAAAAAAAGGAATCTTGTGAAATATTATTACAATTTAAAATAATTGTTTTCTATTTTAATACATTTAAAAATGTAATGTATTTCAGCATCATTATTCCAGTCTTCAGTGTCACAGGATCCTTCAGAATGTTAAGCAGCACAACTGTTTTCAGCATTGGTAATAATAATAATAATAATAATAATAATCAATTTTTATTGAGCAGTAAAGCAGCATATTTGAATGATTTCTGAAGGATGATATGACACCGAAAACTGGAGTGATGATGCTGAAAATTCAGCTTTGCATTACAGGAATTAGGAATCAATTACTTAAAAATATATTCAAATAGAAAACAGTTCTTTTAATTTGTAATATTATTTCACAATATTACTGTTTTTACTGTATTTTTTAATTAAATAAATGTAGCCTTGATGAGCTTAAGAGACTTCTTTCAAAAACATTTAAAATTGTAATGTTTCCAAACTTTTGGCAGGTACTTTATATGTAAAAAAAAAAAAAAAAAAAAATGTTCAGAGAACGTTCAAAAATAACCTTTTTATAACTTAATGGGAACGTTAGCAAAACATTCTTAGAACATATTTTTGTTAGCTGGGTAATATTAAGTAAAACCTTAAGTAAAAAGAAGTAAAAACTTCTCCCAAGAAATAAAAATTGTAGATATTAAATACTTGGTTGTTTCTAAAACTCACTTGAATTTGTTTTAGATCTTTAGACGCAACAATACGGTGCGTCACAATGTCAATGCAAACTGTCAGCACTAATACAACATATGGAGGCACTTTTGTTATGATTATGTTCATCTGTACTTCTCTAGAATCTTTGTGTCCTGATATGGTTTCCATCACTTTCTAGGTTAATAATTAGAAGAGATCACCTGCTGGAGGACGCTTTCAATCAGATCATGTGTTATTCCCGCAAAGACCTCCAGAGGAGCAGGCTTTATGTCAGCTTTGTTGGAGAAGAAGGGTTGGTATACATATTTTCTATCAAAGTGAAATATGTTTCTAATTATTTTGACCTGTATATTATTGAGATCATGTCAAATCTCTACATTACAACAGGTGTCTTCATCTCATTGTAAATGGCAAACTTAATTCAAATGAAGATGCCCCTTTAGTTCTATCATTTTACATTTTGTAATTTAAACCACATCACTGTATTATTACATATATGTGTGCATTGATTTGAAATGATTAGTGCATTAAATATACATGTTTTTTTCTTCTTCAGATTGGACTATAGTGGTCCATCCAGAGAGTTCTTCTTCCTGGTTTCCCGAGAGCTGTTTAACCCATACTATGGACTATTTGAATACTCAGCTAATGACACTTACACAGTGCAGATCAGCCCCATGTCAGCCTTTGTGGACAACCATCATGAGTGGTAACCAGCCGATGGATGAATGGATGGATGGATGGATTTCATTCTCAATCAATGTCCAAAGGGCATTTTTAGACTTATGTTGTGTTTCTTAGGTTCCGGTTCAGCGGACGCATTCTGGGTCTTGCTCTAATTCATCAGTACCTGTTGGATGCGTTCTTCACCCGACCCTTCTACAAAGGCCTTCTTCGCATGTGAGTCTTCACATTGAGCACTGAAGGATGATTCATATTTGCTTCATGAAGTGTATCACAGCTTTCTCTTTTTCTTGATTGAACTACTCCAGACTTTTGATTGAAATTCCAGTTGTTGTATAATTCTGTCACATTATATGTAATGTATTTCTCTTTGTAGCCCATGTGATTTGAGCGATCTAGAGTTTCTGGATGAGGAGTTTCATCAGAGTCTGCAGTGGATGAAAGACAATGACATTGAGGATATGCTGGACCTCACCTTTACTGTCAATGAGGAAGTGTTTGGACAGGTCCGAATGGCTCATGTTTGTTTGTGTGTGTTTGTGTGGTTCAGGTAAACCCTACATTTTTTGGTCTCCAAGAGGAAAACAGATTATAAATCACACTAAGTGACGTGTTTTGAAAATGTTAAAATGCAGTAAGTTTTCTGTGGTGTTTAGGGTTAGGGGCTAGAATATACAGTTTGTACATTACAAAAATTATTATGTCTATGGAGTGTCCCCATAAAACATGAGAACACCCTACACAACGTGTGTGTGTGTGTGTGTGTGTGTGTGTGTGTGTGTGTGTGTGTGTGTGTGTGTGTTCAGTATATTTAGAGTGCTAAAATGGGATTTAGCTGATCTCTCAATATTTGATGGTAAATATTTGATCACTATTCTGTATCTAGAAAAGTCCTAAACCCTAGCAAGAGTACCATATCATCAACAATGTTAATTTTATATTGTTATAGTGTTTTTTAAATGATTAATATTAATTATTATTAATTATAATATTTTTGCATTTGTGTATGTTCAGCTTTCATTTCAGTTTCAGTAATTTTATGTGCTATTGTCATAAAAAAATATATTGTTTCTATTTAGCTTTATTTTTATTACAGTTTTAGTAATTTTAGTACAGTAACTAGTAATACAACTTTTTATTTATTTCATCTCAAAGCAACATTTCTAAAGGCCATTATTTCTAATAACAAAACTGGTCCACTGTTAGTGGTGTTTGCTAAGGCAAGCATCGTTGTTATTAGTCCTAATATTATTCCTAAAAATATCTTCATCTGAACATCATAAACACGTGAGAGTAGGGTATTTGGATGAGCAAATGTCCTAGCAACAGCTCAGAACACCTTAGCAACACCCTAACAATCACCCAAACCACGCTAACAACACCCTAGCAACCAGAAATGTAAATCAGACATGTAAAATCTATTTTAGTTTGTTAGCCTATTCATTGTAAAGTTATATAAACTTAGAGTGAACTGGAGGATTCTTTATGTCAGATTACAGAGCGTGAGCTAAAGCCGGGTGGGTCTGGCATTGCTGTGTCAGACAAGAACAAGAAAGAGTACATTGAACGCATGGTGAAGTGGAGGATTGAGAGAGGTGTGGCCCAGCAGACCGAGAGTCTTGTGCGAGGATTCTACGAGGTATGATGTTGTCTGAATCTCTGAAGATTAATGACTTCTAGTTTAACTCCGTTGATCTGAGACCATGTGATTGTGCAGGTGGTGGACGTCCGACTCGTCTCAGTGTTTGATGCCCGAGAGCTGGAGCTGGTCATTGCTGGAACAGCGGAGATTGATTTATCCGACTGGAGAAGCAATACAGAATACAGAGGAGGTATTTTTTACTGAAACAGATTCAGGTGTTGTTTCACACCAGGCAAGAATAACACAGTGACAGAATGTGTAAAAATGTTACAGCAGGATATCATAATGTGACTTTTTTTTTCTCATCTCTGCCTTTGAAGGTTATCATGACAACCACATAGTGATTCGGTGGTTCTGGGCAGCAGTGGAGCGTTTCAATAATGAACAGAGACTACGACTCCTTCAGGTACACTCAGATCTCACTATCACCATGGGTCAGATACACTACCATTCAAAAGTTTGGTGTCAGTAATTTTTTTTAATAAGAAATGATGTTTTTTTTTTTATAAGAAATGATGTATTTTTTTTATAAGAAAGTATTTTTATATAAGAGATGAATACTTTTATTCAGCAAGGATGCATTCAATTGATCAAAAGTGACTGTTGAAGAAAAAATCTATATCAAGTAAATGCTGTTCAATGCTGAGCAAGAGACTTTCAAAAACATTACCTCATAAAGCTAATGTAGCTCAAAGAGTAGAGCATGTCGCTAGCAACAGCAAAGCTGGGGGTTTGACTCCCAGGGAATGCATGAACCGATACACATTTCACTTAGTGAGTTCATACAGTGTAAAACAAAACCTCTAAAATTTGCATTCTTATCTGAGCTCCCATTTAAACCAAAGCTCTTCTCCTGGTAGATCAGTGAAATTAGCCAAGTCAAAATGTGCTCTGCTTTCCTCCAGTTTGTTACAGGCACTTCCAGCGTTCCCTATGAGGGCTTTGCCTCCCTGCGGGGCAGTAATGGCCCACGTCGATTCTGTGTGGAGAAATGGGGCAAAGTGACCTCCCTCCCACGGTATTTCTGAGCTTTTTATGTTTAGTGTCTCACACACATCTTACTGTGTCCGTTATACGTTATCCCACAACGATGTTCAATCAGCTAATGCCATGTTTTCTTTATATGTTTGTATAGGGCTCACACCTGCTTTAACCGCCTGGATCTCCCTCCTTACCCCTCTTTCTCCATGCTCTACGAGAAGATGCTCACTGCTGTGGAGGAGACCAGCACCTTTGGTCTGGAGTGAGCTCCCATCACAGCAAAAGTGCTACTGATTTTTTTTTTTGGCTCACCATACAAACTTTATTTTCATCCCTCACTCTTCACTACGACCTTGGTCATCAGACAATTACATAACCTTTTTGACAAAGTCTACGGAACTGGAATATATGCCATCAAATGACTCATTGGGCATGTGCCAACTCCTGCTCTATAGTGTATGAACTCAAAGCCTGTGATAACTGCAATCAATTCTTCACACAAAGAGACTTAAGCCCAAAGTATACTTCGGCTGTCCGCGTTTCGCGACAGTTAGCGCACTGTCCGCGTAATGTAATTTTCATCATCTGGAGGGTCCGCGTGCAGCCCAATTTTAGTGTCCATGCGAACCGTGTGCGTACAGCAGTGCATGTGCGAGTTGAGCGCTTGAAAACAGAGTCCACTAGATAGTGCGCACACGCCAAATGTGTCTTTTCGCACTCACGGCCAAAGAAGTATACTTTGAAAGGCTCTGAAGACGGAGCGGAACGCGGAAAATGAAGTATACCTGGGCCTTTACACATTCACAGAAATCAGAGCTGCAATCTTTGTTGTCTGGTTTTGGCCTTCAGATTGGTTTAGACCAGTACATTTTGATCTGGGTTTTAGGTCTTTGCCTTTTGTTCTTGACTGAGCTGCTTTTTTAAAAGTCAAAACTATATCTATGGGGTTTAAAGGAACAAAGCTGTTGATTTTTGATGCAGGTCTTTGTCATGGAAAGTTAATGTCAGTTAAAAAAGGACTTTTTTGGTTTCACTTATGGTTGGCATTCTTTGTTTTGAAGGGTCTAAATGACATTGATCTTGGCTGCAGTTCTGAAAACTCATTCTTTTTGCCATCTTTTAAGAGAATGAACCCATGAAAACAAACAGCATGCACTCTCTCTTTTATAGAGATCCTTGCACCAAATGTAGTGGTTGTAGAATAGCAACCTGAACGTCCTAGGTTCAAACCCTGAAAAGAATGACCCATGAACTAGAGTTCCTCTATCACCTCTTGTGCCCTTGAGCAAGACATTTATCACCAGACTGTTCCAGGGGACTTTAAATGTAGTAATTCACTTTGGTCGCTGGTTAACTAACAAACACTAACACTCAGTACTTTATATAATGCACACATTTTTTTAAATCCACCTCTCAACCTTTTATGCAACCCGCAAATGTAAAAAAAAAAAAAAAAACTATGAATGTATAAACACTGATCACCATGTGCAATGTGTGCAACAGATATTTGTGTATCAGGAATGGTAGATTTGTTCTTAGAGTTAATCATAAGGAGACCTATTGTTCTAAACTGTGGTGACAGACACAAACAGTGGCCTTGAAATCATCTTTATTAGTTCGGTGTAGTTAATATCATGGTGATGTGTGCAGTTCACTGGAGTAATTTAAAACCAGGGCTCCAGTGGTTAAACCAGTACAAACAGATTAACAAGTTTCTTCTGCTATGGAAAAAGAAAAGAAAAGTGAAAGAAAAAACACATTTTAGCATGTGTAGGGAGTAGCAAACCAAACTGTATCACCCTTGCACACGTGGTATGAAGTGTTTTGAAAATATGACAAAAATATGGAACAATCTCAGTGCAGGAATTTCCATTTAATGTAACTACAGATCGAAGCTAAACGTAAATAATGGATGAAAAGTTCCTTATTTTTGGGTGACAAGTTGCACCCCTCGTTTACAGACATGTCGTTTCCGTCTGTGGTCCCTCCACAAGCCCTCACAAACACACACACACACACACACACACTCAGCATTACATGGAAATCACGCATTCACACCACACAAATGCAGATCTGGCCAATGCTCAGATCCTTGGATATGGATTTGTCTTAAAACAGCTCCTTTCTCTATGTAATGGATCTTTGGATAAAATACTGCATGCAGGGTCGAAGAAGCAGTACCTGAGTTTGACCCTTAGATGGCGTTGTGTCATAGCTTGATATTGCATGCTGGAATTAGTGAAACAACAAATCCAGATTATCTGAATTTGCATGAGAAGTTGCTGTTACTAAGGGGTGGGGTGGGATGGGATGGGATTGGGGAAATAAGTAAATGAGAAAATAGAAAATATCACTTCCATACTTTTCAAACATCAGCTGTTATGTAAACTTTGTGGGTCACTGATTATGTAATATGCTGATAAAAGAGCCATCACTTGAAACCAGTTGGTGAAAATGTGAACCTGCATGAGTTCCATGATGTGTCCATTTTTGTATATAGCTGTAATATATGTATGTCAGTCAGTCTTGTCCTGTGTTTAAATTATATTTTGCACTGAATGTACCAGTATATTTGAGTGCTGTCTGGACTCTTTTGTGTTTGTCTTTGTGCTTTAACACATTCTCTTTTTATTGCAAATACTTTTTCCCTTGACACAGGACAGGCAGCTTTCTGAAGTGTTGTTAAAGCCATGATTTACATTTAATCTTTCTGCTTGGCCAATCATACTCCACCTGTCAGCTTACTCATTGAGTTTGCATTTCCATGGACTAAAGTCCAGTTGCCTACTTCAGTTCAGTTGTCTACTAGGGACAAGAAATCCAAAGCAGACCTGCAAAGTTCCAGCTCCTCTGCATTTCACATTTGATGACAGTATTATAAGCTACAAAACAGATAAGCAAACACTGAACACTTAAATGAAAGCAAGAATGATTACTGTAAAACAAAATAATTACTTTGTTTTTACCAAATGTATTAGTATAGCCTACAATCATTATTTAAAACAACCTTATTTTAAGAATGCATGATATAGACACCATATTGGATACACTTGGCTACGCGTTTTATTTTTATTTATCAGTAGCCTATCGAATATTTAAATTTTCCCACTTTATTTTAAAATTGACATACTTATCTAGCACTAATTTAAAGAGAGTGGCCTATATTAACTTTAAGTGTTTAACTTTAAGAGCGCTTACCCGAGTGAAAAGTTGTAATAGTAGGCTACCCTAATATCTCTAGCCTGCCATTTATCTCTAGCCCATTTATCGATTATCGGCCATAACATTAAGAAGCCAAATTATTGATTTCACTATCTATCTATCTATCTATCTATCTATCTATCTATCTATCTATCTATCTATCTATCTATCTATCTATCTATCTATCTATCTATCTATCGCACAATGGGCGAATTCTAACGACCGTGATGATGACGAAGGTGGTGACGTAGTGCCTCACTTCTCGTATTGGCATCAGAGCAGAATTTGAAACTGAAGAAACACCGGTGGACAAGATCTGAATCGCAGAATCCAAAACCGACTTACCTCAGCATGAACTAGCCAGACGAGCGTGTTTACTCTTCGTTCAGCTTAATTCAGGGTTTATTACCGATAGTTTGTCAGTTGAACTACAGCTGATGTTGTTCCCGTGAGAAGAGGAAGAGGGTGTCAGTTCTAACTTAGTGTCGTGATTTTGTCCTGCGTGAAAGGAAGCGCTGTCTGTTGGTCGGTTTGTATTTTGAACAAAATGAGACGAATCTCCATGTACGTTCGTCTAAATGAAGGATAGAGTTTAATCCAGGAGTTTTGCGGAATCGTTTAGGGCTAACTTAAATGAGCTAATCTGCGCTAGCTAAAGGCTCTTAGCATCAGTTGTCGTGTTCAAACTCAACTGAACTCACTTCAGTTAACGGTAAGTGAATTCATTTATTGGCAACACTTTCTGGATAACCGCGGCGCGAACTAAAGTCTCGTTCTGAAGGCGTTTCAACGTTTCAAGAGGCCGGTGGCAGTGTGTGTTTTTTTTCCTGGTGGTGACTCTGAACATGAGCAGAGTGTTGTTGAAGTGATAAAAGCAGTCTGCACTCTTCACTGGACACTCACTCGCTGGTGGTGATGGCCCGGAGGAGACTGGACAGTCGCAGTGGATCCTCGGTTCTGCTGTCAGAGATCCACACTCACATCCACACGGATCCTCTGGACACCGTTTTTGACATGAGCCACGAACTTGGCAGGTGTGTAAATATAACGTTACTCCTCATTATCTGAAGTCTGTGTCTCTTTAATTGTTTCCTTCTTAAAATGCTTTATTTGATTTTATCATAATGTCTTCATATGTTGATAAACAATACAGTGACTGCAGAACTGATGCTCAGTGCAGTAATGTAAATATGTATCGGTATGTTGTCCGTGAATGTGGTTGTTCTGTCCTATTTCTTGTAATTCTCTGATACAGAAGTGACGTTACTACTGTCAGATTACAGAACTATAGCATGTTTTTGTCCTCTTATATCCTGTTAGTCTTATCTTTGCTCTACATGTTATAATATACGTGCATGATATAGTTAGAATATTTATCATTACAGTTTAAAATAACTTTTTTTATTTTAATATATATGTTAAAATGTAACTTATTCCTGTGATGGTAAAGCTGAATTTTCAGCATCATTACTCCAGTCTTCAGTGTCACAGGATCCTTCAGAAATCATTCTAATATGCGGATTTGCTGCTCAAGAAACATTTCTTATTATCAATCTTTGAAAATAGTTGTTTTGCTTAATATATTAGTGGAAAACCTGATTCATTATTTTTCAGGATTCAACGTTGAGTAGAAAGTTCAAACCACCAGTATTTATTTGAAATCTAAATTATTGTAAATGTAAACATATTTACTGTTACTTTTGACCAATTTAATGCATCTTTGCTAAATAAAAACATTAATTTTCATGTTATTTCATCTAATTGCTAATGTGCATGTAGTTCATATATTGCCATTTTGGGAAGTATTGTGGTCCCAGATTATAAGCAGAAATATAGACTTTAGAATAGAGGTTTTCTTGGTTTATTTTGTTTGTTTAGTCTCAGGGTGAGTAGGACTGAAGGTTGTCTGCTGTATGGAGTTGGAGTCTGTCCTGCTTCTGTATTATTCAGGATTGGAAAGGCCTTGCTCACTGAACTGTGACTAATATGTGTGTGTGTGTGTGTCATTGCTAAAGCTCTACAGCAAGGCTTTGGAGCTTTTAGCAGGAAGGAAACCCATGTGGGAACCAGACCCAGTTTTGTGTTGTGCTGTAGATTGTACTGTGAATACTGAGAAAGAGGAAGTAATATTGGTCTCTTCCTCTTTCTCTCATACTATTTGCTTACAGCCATATTCGGGCTGTTTTTATGCTACCGGCTGTGCTGTTAACAGGAAATCATTTCACAGTTCACTTATATTTTAACTTGTCAGTGTGGAGGAAGGTGCAGTGGAGGAAGGCAGTTCTGTGGAAAGAAAGTTTGAATACTGTGATATTTTTTATGGGTTTTATGAAAAGATGACTTGCAAAGTTGCTCAAAGAGCAACCTGGTCCCTGAGCAAACCTTTCCCCTGGTCTGGGAAAGTCATATAAAATATTAAGAAATCATAAAAATATCAATAGTGAATATTAATTCTACTCATGGGTGGGTTTTCATTTTCTTTATCATATAGATATATACACCGTTCAAAAGTTTTGACGTTTTTTTTTTGTTTTTTTTTTTAATAAAGAAATGAATGCTTCTATCAGTAAGAAAACATTAAATTGATAAAAAGCGACTTTTTATTAAAATATTATTAAAAATAATTTTCTAGTTTAATTTCTATTTCATTCAACAAATAAATGCTGTTATTCTGAACTTTCTATTCATCAAAGAATCCTGAAGAAAATATTAAGCTGCACAACTGTTTTGAAAATTAATAATATTTGATTTGATTTTGTTTCTAAAGGATCATGTGACACTGAAGACTGGAGTAATTGCTGCTGAAAATTCAGCTTTGCCATCACAGGAATAAATTACATTTTGAAAAATATATTGAAAAAGAAAACAGTTCTTTTAAATTGTAAATAATAATATTTCACAATATTATGGTTTTTACTGTATTTTTTGTCAAATAAATGCAGGCTTTGTGAGTATGTAAAACTTTGTTAAAAAATGAGCCTAAACCATTGACCGGTAATTTGTGTATATATTGTAAATTTTACTATCTACTTTGACTTGGTTCCAAGATCTAACTCGATACAGTATGCAATATGCAGTCGGACATTAGAACAAAATGGTTTTTATAAAGGTGATGGTCTAGTGCAAAGAATTGTGGGATTGATTTTGAGTATATGCTTGCTTGTGGCCTAATGTCTCACCTGTTCATGCTGTGACAGTAATTGCAGTTTCTCAAGTAAAGACTGGCTCACATCAGTCATCTAACCTGATATTAAACGGTGAGAACATCTAATGGAGGGTTTGACTCAGTTAGTAACTATCTGTGTCAGAAAGAGCTTTGAATGAGAGAACTGCTATAGGTGTGAGTCGTGACTGAATGCGTGCACACTGTGACAGATATTAAAAATGTAGGTACTTTATTTATCTCTCAAAATGTCACATTTAGCTTCCATTGCCCTCATTTGAATCTTTCTCTACCTCTTTTATATTCTCTGTGTTCTCTGTTTGCCTCCTTCAGGGGGAAGTTTGCAGTGGTGAAGCGGTGTGTGGAAAAGGCCACAGGGAAAGTCTTTGCTGCGAAGTTCATCAAGAAGCGGCGACGAGGTCGCGACTGCAGGGCGGAGGTCGTTCATGAGATTGCCGTTCTAGAGTCAGCGAAGAACAACCCTCGTGTGGTGAACCTGTATGCTGTATATGAGACCGATCACGACCTCGTTCTAATGCTGGAATAGTGAGTGCTGTGACTAGAAGCATCAGTTGCATGTCCCTGTTCACAAAATGATCGTTGGGTTCAGTACTAAGAATAACCCTGAATGTGTGTGTGTCTTAGTGCGGCGGGTGGAGAGATATTTGATCACTGTGTGTCAGAGGAGCTGCTTCCTGAAGGTCAGATCACCCGTCTGATCAGACAGATGCTTGAGGGTGTTCATCTACTCCACCAGAGCAGCGTGGTCCACCTGGACCTGAAGGTTAGATGCACGGCTGCTTTTAACATCTTCATTGGACACATTCTGTCCTGAAATTCCAGCCCTTTAAACTATAATCTGCCTGATGCTACTCTTGTTCAATTTGATTCTGTGCATTTCTTCTTAAAAGCACTAGTTGTATTTATTAAGACTGTATTCTCTCATTCAGCCCCAGAATATTCTCTTGACCAATCTGAGCCCACTGGGGGATATAAAGATAGTGGATTTTGGGTTGGCCCGCCGGTTAGGCTCTGCTGGGGAGCTCAGAGAGATTCTGGGAACCCCTGAGTACGTAGGTAAGGTTTATTCAGTGTCATTCATCTTCAAATCCACACATATCTCTGTTCATGGTCTCATTATAGCAGAAGAGTTCATGCTCAATGAAAGTTATGCATTTGGTCGTTTTGCTTTTGATCATATATGCAGCCCCTGAGATCCTGAACTATGAACCAATCACCACAGCAACAGACCTCTGGTGAGTCTTAATCTTTTTCATCAGGTGTTTCAATATACAAGGTTCCCACTGGCTGATATCCAGACCTGGAAATGTCATGGACATTAATAAACTTGTAGAAGGTCATGGAAATTTCAATGGTCAATAGAATTTGTGGAAATTCATTTGTTGGGAGATGTGAGAATTGTTGTCTACTATATTCTGTTAAGTAAAGACAAAAATAGAACAATCTGAAAGCCATACACTACCATTCAAAAGTTTGGGAAGACTTTTTAAAATGGCTGTGAAAAGGCTCACCAAGGCTGCATTTATTTTATCAAAAAAACAAACAAACAAAAAATAAATTGTTGTTAAACGTTATTCCTGTGAAGGCAAAGCAGTCTTTTTTCAGTTTTCGGTGTCACATGATCCTTCAGAAATCATTGAGTAATATTTCAATATGCTGATTTAGTGCTCAAAAAAACATTTCTTATTATCAATGTTGAAAATATTTGTGCCACATGTTTTTTTTCTTCAGGATTCTTTGATGAGTTGAAACAACATTTGTTTGAAATATAAATCTTTTGTTACATTATAAATGTCTTTACTATCACCTTTGATCAATTGAATAATAAATCTTACATCAATTTGATACTAGAGTCAAACAACTTTGTGCTATTAAAGGAATCTCCATGTTCATAGATGTTTTTATTGACGTGTCAAAGATGGTTTTAAACTGATTGTGTATCCGTTGACTTCAGGAGTGTGGGTGTGATCGCCTATATGCTGGTGACAGGAGAGTCTCCCTTCGCTGGCGAGGATAAACAGGAGACCTTCCTAAACGTATCCCAGGTGAACGTGGACTACAGCATAGAGGCCTTTTCAAGGGTGTCTGAGCTGGCTGTAGACTTCATCCAGAAACTGCTGGTCAAAGCACCAGAGTGAGTGACTCTCATTTCAGACACTTGGAGGAAGCCAAGCTCAGTCATTGTACTGTGCAAAATGATGTACTGCTTATAAATAAAGAGTCATATAATAAGTGCTATGTAATACCCTTCCCCACTTCCAAAACAGTAATTATTCTGGGTGATATGGTTGTATTATGCATTACAAATGAAGTGTTTTAGAAATGAAGTCATTGCAAACATATAAATAGGCTTACAAATTAACTTGTCCAATGATCACTCTTTTATGGCTCAAAGTTTTCAGATATTGACTTTCTCCATTCCCATAGATTGTATAACTGTTGGTTATCACAAAGTATAAAGTCCAGGTTTCATTTTCTTTTCGTTTGTTTTCAAACATGCATTCACAATTGTAGAAAAGACAAAACAATTGAGAATAAATGAGGTCAAAATAGACTGTTTAGGATTAATGGAAAGAAAAAGGTTTGTTTCTATATAGAGTTAAGATTTTACATTTGCACTTGTTGTCATAAACTAATTGATGTACTTTGGTTTTATTGCTGTTCTTAACGATAGTTTCAGATTAGTTTCCACTTAACCACATATCAAAGTCCTGGACATGAATTCTCCCCTCCTTTTTCAGGGATCGTCCCAGTGCAGCCGACTGCATGACCCATCCCTGGCTATGGATCCACTTTCCAGGTTCTGATCCAATCCCTGTGACCCCACGCACTCCCCGGGAAAGGAGTTTCGGGGGGAAGTGGTCCGCGCCACCCGAGGATCCTGAAGACAAAGAGAACATTCTGGACTCGCCACATGCCAAGAGGTTTCGTTTTGAAGAGGACATGTCAGCCACGGCCGACAGTGACCACTTATGCTGATCCTAAAGGGAAATGCACTTGCACCGAATAGCATTATCACAATTTTGGTCCTTGAGTACATTCCCCCACAAACATGCTTCTTTTTCACCATCCTTTGGTTGACCAAAGATGATCTTTTCACAAAAGGGCCAGATCTGATGTAATATTAATACTATAGTAGTGAGAATCTAAATATCTATGTTGCTGTCCTGTCTCAAGATTTTTGTTTTTCTTGTCATATTTGGATTTTAAATTATTAATTTGAATATTTTTTTTATTTGAATCTCCATTCAGTGTCAATTTAATTATTCTGCATATTTTAGCCCATATTAATCTAGACACTAATTCCATTACTGCACTTAAAGCAACAAAAAGGTATTTAAAAAAGACACGCTTGAGAGCAGCAGGGCATTCAGCGGTTTTTAATTCTGCTTAAATGAAAGATGCGAGTGTTTAAGCAAACTAATGTCAGTCTTTGTTCTCTGTGTCTCAGTGTCAGAGGGAGTTCTGGTTGTATGATTAGACCTTGTTCATTCAAAAACACCTCGTGAGACTGTCTCTGTTGAAAAGGTTCAGTACTGGAATGCCCTCGGTGTATGGGTGTGTGTTTTGACTTACATCCTCTCCTTTCGTGTGGTATTGACACATTAGTGGACTCTTTAAAAATGTGACTCAACACACACACGTACAACACACCCTGGATTACACAAATATGTGTTTGTATTGGTCACAGAACTTCCTTCTAGAGAATGACTAAAGAAAATCAGGAAAGCACTTAAACCCTCTTTTATATGTGTTTCTGTGACAAAAATATGAGAAAATATTTGTAACAGCATTATTTAGTAAATCGAGTCTTTCTTTTGTTTTTAAAATCATTATTGTTTTAAATATTCCCTTTTCTCCTGCCAACATATTGTATAATAAACTGTTAAGTGGTACCATTCTAGCATTCTCCTATGGCAGGCGCCTAATATCTCAATGCATGTGATGGCTTATGATATACATAATTTTAAAATGACAGTTTTTATCTATGCACAAATCTGAGGTAATTCAGGGTTTTGTTACCTTTTTTGTACAGGTGTTTTTAAGCTAATGCCATTAACTGATGGAGGTTTCTGTACTCATTCATTCTGAGCCTTATTCTCAGGGTTAGCTGTAACTGCAGTTTACCGGTGTATATTTCTCGAGTGCCTTTGTGTGCATTTTTTCCCTCTATGCTTGAGCCGTACAGCCTCACTTGATCTCATGTAATACCAGTGCAGCACATTTACGTGTATGTATTATTAATGTTTGCCCTGTTTTAATTGAGATACTGGTACACCCTTTAAACTGATGGCCTAGTGTATTTAAAGTAAATTATTTGTATGGACTTAATGGGGATACATATATGCAATGCGTTTTAGAAAGGAAAACTGTGTTAAAGTTATATTTATGGTCTTTGTTTATGTAGGGCATGAAAAGATGGGTTGTTAATGTTGGCTGTTATTGTTGAAATTATATGGTTGTGTCAGATAGTGAAGCATGTTTGGTTGTAATGAAAGTACGGAGTGTGAATTCTGGAATGAAGGGCAAGTGAATGTTATTGTGATGGAAAATAGTTTGGAAGAAGATTTGTGCACATCAGAAAGTGTGCAGAAATGCAACATATGAGGGTTAGTGAAAATATAACTAGAACAGCTGAGGGTTTATTGGTTTAATATAATTGACAGCTTTTCTGAGTGGCTGTTTAACTGGAAATGTTAATATTGCAGAATTTAGTCTTGACGGTCGAGCCCTTCAGTTATTGTTCTGTTTAAAGAGGTGTGTGTGTGTTTGTGTGCTCAGGGCCTTACGGTTTCCCAGAGATGTCACCAGTCTGCAATCATAATAGAGCTATTGTCTCCGAAGACGAGAGGCTCTTGTCACGGTCGTGTGCTCACTGTATGCCGTCATCTTAAAGGAAAACACGAATCTATTCCTTGCCTGGGAAACGACCTCAATAGGGCCATGAGGTATTTGAAGCTGCAAAATAGGCCAGACTTTGGAGTGCATTTCTGAGCAGTTACTGGGGTATTTGCAGAAAGCTTGTGACAAACTTTGTAAAGTCACTTTACGGGATAACTTGGTTGATTGTCTTACTATCTTAGTGAAAACTGATAATGGAAGATGCCCACGATGAAAACTGTATTTTGAGTTATATGTACCATAATAAATGACGTTCAATTGTATTACAAATTCTAATAAAGCCATTGAGAGTCTAGAGTTGTAGAGTATGCACCCTTAATATCGATGTTTTATGACCCATAACGAAACAATTTTTTTTAATTCATCCCTCATTCTATTACATTGATTTATTGAATTAATAATAAAAGGATAGTAAAGCCGTAATCTGTGACTGAAAATCATTAAATAATCATTTTAACTTTAAACATTCTAACATACTAATTTTATATATTCCTTTTAACATCTTGAACCTTGATGCCAGCTGTGGATTTGATTGACCTTTTCCTGTTGAATCAACTTGAATTGCGTTATTTAAAGTTCACGTTTCTAATTAAACAGATCACTGAAACATTTCAACATTTTTATTGGATTACATCAGCATGGAATGACTATGAAGCAGGAAGTACATTCACTGCATTACATTGAGGATATTACAAAATCCGCATATTCATTAGTATGTGATATATTCAATACAGCACATTCCAAATAAAGTGCGCCACCTAGAGTGTAGTCTTCTGAGACTCAATACTGGAAGCGTTTTGGGTACTTACCATTACAGTCAATAAAACATTACAGAATGAGTCAGTAAATAAAATATTTTTAAAGTTTTAGGTTTTTGTTTTTCATCTAACCAAAAATATATTCTATACATTTCATTTCAATGGAAGATCCTTAGATTCTTTGATTTGATTTCCAAATAAAAGCAGTACCAGAACACAAACACAGAACACATTTGTGATATTAAACCAATGTAATCGTATATGGGACAATGCTTATGAAATACAGTTTGGAGCTGCAACTGCTCTTAAGTAAATTTGCCTGTCTGCAAGGTTTTTAATATATATTCCTTAGCAGGGCCAGGAAGTTTACAAAGTGTTTTTACATTCAAGAGTATCCATATATCATTGGGGATACAAATACTTAAAATGAAAATCCAAGCTTAATAATTTATTGTAACAACATAAAAACAAATTAATTTAATAACCACTTTCAGATAGTTAATTTTTCCTTTCTTAGGAAATGACAGCCCTTTAAACACGAAGAGATGATGGTTTTACGACGCATATCTGCATTCCAAATAAACTATGGAAAACAAGTATCCTAGTATATCGGACAATGCCTATGTAAGTAGATGCAACAGGCAAACAATAAGGCTTAATGTCAGGCAGCTAAATGTGTTACAAGTTTGGTCATTAAAGGGATAGTTCACCCCCAAAAATAAGAATTATGTCATCATTCACTCACCCTCATGTTCCAAACCCATAAGACTTCCGTTAATCTTTGAAACACAAATTAAGATATTCTTAATGAAACCTGAGAGGTTTCTCTCCCTCCATTGAAAGTCCAAGTAACCAAATCTTAGAAGATCAAAAAAGTTAATAAAGGTGCTGTAAAATGAATCCATATGAATAAAGCAGTTTAATCCAAGTCTTGCGAAGAGATATGATTGCTTTATATGATGAACAGATTAAATGGACACACATACATGAAGCACATCACAGAAGCTCAAATGTGCGTGTGTGATGCACGAGAACCAATGAGGTTTGTTCTAGCACATGATGAATGCACGTTATGCGTGCATGAGCTTCCGTGTTTACCATGTGATGTGCTCCATGTATGTGTGTGTATATGTGAATAAACGCCTAAATGAAAGCTGTTCATCATATAAAGTGGTCGTATCTTTTCACAAGGTTCAAACTGCTTGCTTCATATGGATTCATTTTACGACACCTTTATGACCTTTTTGGATCTAAGTTTTGGTCACCTGGACTTTCAATGGAGGGACAGAAAACTCTCAGCTCTCCTTAAAAATATCTTAATTTGGGTTTTAACAATCAACCAAAGTCTTACGGGCTTAGAACGACATGAGGGCGAGTAAATGATGACAGTATTTCTCTATTTCTGTGAACTATCAAGCTTCAATCTTCTCTCCTATTTATGAGTGTTGGGTAGGCAAACCCAAAGCTCTTTTTTAACTAATACATCAGTGCAATACAAAGCTGTCTGCTCTACGAAGAATACACTCCGTGTTAAGACTTGAAAGCATAGATCAAGAATAGTCAGAACTCCTGAATGACTCTGAAGTGATTCTCAATGGACGCCGGCTCCTCCTCGAAGTGCAGTTTCTGGCTCAGACAGGCACCCAGATCCTCCAGAGTCTTTATAAAGCGCTGGTGCTCTCGCCCAACCCATGCCCTCATCGGGTCCCTTACCTCATACGGAGTGACATGGGCATGGACAGCCACCCCACTGGAGGCCAGCTCATCCAGAGCACATTTATTGGTCACCCACGTCTCACTGCCTCCAGGGTGTCCTCCATCCAGCCAGTACATGTCTGAGACACTGTCCAGAAACAGCCTCAGTTCTGGATCCGCTCGAGCTCCAGCCAGCTCATACACGATTTGATTGAGAACAACACATCCTTTACTGAAGCCCACTATGGTAAGGGTGAAACCTGCAGGAAGGGGGCCAGGGGTGGCTGTACCACTAAGAGGAGGTAAAGGATTTGGGAGGCCAGCCCGCTGCATGCCATGACCCAGGAGTGCCCTCAGGTGGCGAATGCCTCCATAGTCTGGAGAGTGTTCTGGTGCTCCAAATAGGTTGCTCTCTACAAAGTTCTGATAGCAGCTGAACTTGTGTAGGTACATGCGGGATGCGCGGACTACCCAGATATGGCAGCCAGGAAACCGGTGGCCCAGGTTGAGGGCGACACGCTCCAGGCTCCAGGACTGCCATGGGGCAGCGTCAGGCTGGAGGGCCATTTCCTGCTGGAAGTTCTGGATAGTAGATGAGAATGAGAAGTTGCATTATGAAGAGAGGAAGATAGAGAAATTTAAGAAATTCAGCATATATATTTAATGAACACTAACTATCGAAAACAGGGTTCGCACACCTTTTGAGAAATGAATTTATGACTTTGTCATTTGTAATTCGTTTAATAGAGATTAAGGGAAGTTTCTCACAATGAACGATGCACATAACTCACACCTGCACAGAAACATATATTTGCTATAGTAATTTCCATGACTTGTGAAAATATTATTAATTTCTATGACTCTTACAGGCCTAGAAATCACCATTTTAAAATTCCCTGATAATTCCTAGTTTTCCATTAACATGATTCAAGTATATTCAAGCTTGAACTAATATTCTTCTAGAACAAAACAGCAGGACTAAATGTGCATGTCTTCACTTTATCTAAAAGAAAAACGCTCCATTTATTCAGACACATTCAATAGCTGTGAGGCATGCATGTACTATGGTTCAAATGTTTTATGCCAGTAATGTTTTTTAATTTTGAAAGAAATTAATATTTTTATCCAGCAAGGATGCATTTAATAGATCAAAATTGCTGCAAAACATTTCTGTTTCAAATAAATGCTGTTCTGCAGTATGATGTTAAAACGTGTCTTGGGTCTGTTTTCAATGTCTATTGAAAAACGAAATAATAGAGATTCCTTATTAGTCGCAACAGAAGCTAAACTGTATCAAATTATTTTAGTGAATAATCCTAGAGGTTCCTTACAGGGGGTTCACGGTCCCTATATAACGCGCAATAGGCATATTTAGTCTAATAAGAGGATTACATCATACACTGCATAAACAATATCTAATTCCTGACACAGGATCCTGAGAGCTTTATTAAATAACCCATTATTGTTTAGAAAGTAATTTAGGAGGGCATGCAGTCGTGGTACCATGACAAGACATTGATGACCTGCACCAACCTGAATGTCTCCAGGAAAGAAGACTACGTGATCGTTTCCATTCTGCCGGTTCTCTGTTTCGTTGTCGCATCCTCTCTGCGTTTCCGTGGCGGGTCGTAAGAGCAGAACATCGTTTACGCGGTTTTGATCATGACCGGGTACTGAAGTCAGGCGGAGCAGCCCGGGCGGAGCAGCGGATGTCCCGGGGACGCACAGCCCCGCTGCGGCGTTCATTTTCCTCGCTGTAGTGACTAGCGATAAACAAGCCACAACTGATCGGATACTTCTCATGAGCAAAAGGGATTATGTAGCGGCGACTGCACGAGCTGCAGCATTAAGATCGAAACCATCACTGCAAACCAGGCGCAAAAAGCAACGCATGATCCAGGATAATCCGGTAGGCATTCGGGCGTTAATTTTGCATGGCAGCCTCCCCATATAGAACGGTTCAGGCTAATGATATGTGTCTGGTTTATGATTTGTTTATATTAAAACGCCACCAAGTGGCGCTTTTGGGGTGCGTCATAGCTTGAAAACGATGCGCATGCGCGGAGCCAAAAAGCATTCATGAGCAGCGGTAACGTTAGTGCTGATACATAACGCATTTAGATTGACTTTGACTGCATGACTAGAACACTGTAGTGATTAATGCGGCATGACCATGTTTAATCTAATGTCCAAAATCTAAGTTTCTTTTTAAACTTCAGGGGGCGGAGTATTGTGATTTAATCATGACTCGGTTCAGTCGGTTCTTTTGAACAATTCGCGTCAAAGAACCGGTTCAAAAAAGATTTATTTACAATATGATGTCCCTAACTTTCTGACGTGGCATTTTACATGCAATAAATGTTCTATAGGCACTGTTTTGTTAACGTTTTTGTCTTACTTTATTTGTCAATTTGTTATAGCCATTTAGATCATAAAAGTTTTGAACCTAAAAACATACTTAATACTGAATTAATTGTATTATCTTTTGCTAAATAAAATTATATTTATAACCAATTGTGTAAATAAGCCTAAACAAATTTGCAATACGGTTTTTTTTTTTCGTTCAGACAGTTTTTGTGAAATGGTTTAACTGATTCATTGAGAAGTTTCGACTCAATAGAACGATTCGTTCACGAATCGGACGTTATAGCGGAAACAGCTGAGAGCATGTGTGCTTCTGGACTGAGTCTCACGCCTTCAAGTAACTTTGTGCATGAATGTGATTACAAGTCAGTCAGTTAAGAGTATTAGTAAAAAAGTATTAGTAAATAATATACGATGCCTCTTTGTTGTATCTACGAGTATGATAAACTTTGGACTGTTAGAAAGAAACTGATCAATATAAAGCTGTCGAGTGTTTACACAACTATTCAGCCTTGAAAGTTCATTCCTTTTGTGGAAAAGATTCATAAAACCTATATAACTTATATGTTCATGACTTTTCTTTCAACTAATTTTAAATGTTATATATGTTAAATATAGTGTTTAATATTACTATATTTGGTTATGTTCATGTTGTTAATGTTCTTAAGTAATGTTATTATGAAGTATTAACAAGATTCTTTTTTTTTTTTTTTTTAAATAGGCGTTCTTGAGTTGGCTGATAGTCATCATAGGTTTGGGGTCTGTGGGCCTGTAAATGTGTTTCTGTAAAAGTGTTTCTGCTCTCTTGAGGGATGTCCGGCTCTGCTCTTGGTCGACGGCTGGTTGCATGTCTCCTGAACATCTCGGAAGCTCGGAGAAGAGACCTGGTGGAGACAGTGGCAAGAGCAGCCATCACTGACACACATGGTGAGAAACTCAATGCATGGAATGGATCTATAAAATTTGCCTTTATTAATTACTTCTAAACCAAATAATATTTCAAAGTGGTCATTAAACTGTATCTGAAGACATTAGGAATATTTTTGTTGCATGTTATTGTGACAAAACTGTCCGAATCTGTCCTTTTATAAGGAAAAAAGCGTGAAGGCATCACAGTGCTGAACATCTTCAATGATGTTGACTACAATCGCTCTGTCATCACTATTGTTGCAAGCATTGACCTACTAAGTGAGTTGCCTGCTCGTCCTTCCAGTCATTCTTAATACATGTCCAGTTGCTGAGAACAATTGCTTTGTAAGTAATTGTACAAAAGAGGCCAATCTGTATTGTTGTTGTAAATTTTAGGTGAGGCTGTATTGTCGGCTTGTGAGCGTGCTTTCTCTCTGATTGACATGAATGTCCACGAGGGCACCCACCCATGCATGGGTGCAGTGGATCTGGTGCCTCTCTATCCACTGGGGGAGGAGGTGGGCCTTGAGGATTGTGGAAAAGAGGCCCAGGGTATGTGGCCATGCATGCCCAGAAGAAATGTTAAAATGCATTCTCTGAATATTCACTTTGCAAAGTACAGAAATGGTTTCAATATAGTATTAAAGTATAAATAAAATAGGAAAAAAAAGCTAATGGAGCACAAACAGCATTGAGTTTTTTTTTGGGCTCAGCATACCATTATTTAAAGGGCACTATTAGCATTCTACAGATTAAAAAAATATATTCTCAAATGTGAACTTGTCATTTTATATGCACCTCAACTGCTGTTTTCTTTCTCGTTTAGCATTAGCAACAGCTCTGACAGAACGAGTGGCAGGTACCAGTGCTTTTTTGTTCGGATGGGCTGATTCTCCTCAGCGTCGAGGTCTGGCTCAAAGGAGGAAGGAGATTGGCTGGTTCAAAAAGGTCAAAGATATGTCAAGCATTCAGCCAGATGTAGGTCCACAGGCCACAAGGAGATATGGCATTACAGGTTATTTTTCAAATCTGCATTCACAAAATATAGAAACAAAAATGAAACCGCAAGGTAGAGATTGCTTCACAATTAAGCAACAGAGCAAAATTGGGTTCCGGAAGTTCTTTATTTTTATTTTATTTTTTATTAAAGAAATTTTAATTTGAGAGTATATGCTTCTCTTGCAGTTATCAGCAATTTCAACTTTATTGTTAAAAAAAACTAAATTCTGAGGGAATTTAACTCTGTACATTTGTATATATTTGTGTATATATGTACATTTTGCAATATATTTAAAATATATATATTTGATATTGTTTGCAGTGCATCATTGTAGTTTATTCCCTCATAAAGTTGATTAGTTTGTCATAGATCTGTTTATTTAAGTTTTTTTTATATCCTTAAAGAGAAAATGAATGGGGAAAAAATAACAACACTGCTGAAAAAGTTTCTTTAAAGTTTTGGTTACCTGTACTTGCAATGTAGGGACAGAAACCTTCCAGGTTTCATGAAAAATATCTTAATGTGTTTTGAAGATTATTATAGGTTTGAAACGACATGTGGGTGAGTAAATGATGACAGATTTTTAACTTGTGCGAACTCACTATCACTATTTGAACCTCACTAAACTAAACAAATAACAGCTATTTGTTCTGCAGGTGTTGGCGCCAGCCCCTACGTCATGAACTGTAACGTGACCATCGATACCCAGGATCTGGCCCTGGGCCGGATTGTTGCTTTAGCAATCCGTGAAACCAGTTCTGGTGGAATCCCTGGAGTTCAGGTCATGGCCCTGCCACATGAAGGTGTTATGGAGATCGCTTGCAATGTGGAGAGTGTTCAGGGTGGTCCTCCATCATCTTCATCTTATAGTGTGGAACAATGGCCAAGCTTTGTCATTGGAGGGCAAAACTTTTGCCATGCTCCAGCCTCGCTAATCACAGAACGTGTAGCAGAGCTGGCTAGACACCATGGAGTGGCTATCAAGGGTACTGCCCTGGTGGGCTTTACCCCACGTGAGTGCCGGAGACTGGCAGAGGGAGCGCTCTCAAATGGCATTGGAGAGTTCTGGAAAGAGCTGCAGCGTGTACACATGTGAACAAGCCAACAACTTTCAACACTGTGTTAACTAAATTGCAAAATAATCAATTGTTAATTATAGGGAATTTGTTGAGCCACCAACAATAGATAATCAGCCCTTATTACTATATATATATATATATATATATATATTTAATTATATATATATATATATATAGATATATATATCTTTTTTTTTTTTTTTTTACAAGTACAGTCCTTAAAGGGATTGTTTACCCAAAAATATATTTTTTCTGTCATCATTCACAAACCCTCATGTTGTTTTAAACCTGTATGTCTTTTTTCTTCTGTTGAACACAAAGATAATTTAAAGACTGTTGGCAACCAAACAGTTTTGGTTACCAATAAATTCCATTGTATGGACAAAGCACAGAGACATTTCTCAAAATATCTTCTCCTGTGTTTCACAGAATAAATCCATACAAGTTTAGACTGACAGGAGGTTGAGAGTAAATGATGACAGAATTTTCATTTTTGGGTGAACTATCTCTTTGATGGTATTCATTTTGATTGCAATGTGATTTTACTGCTGCTAAGGGGTCATTAAATGTAAAAAATCGTGTAAAATTAAACATTTTGTCAAGCTATGATAATTGCCTTAATATTTTAAACAACAGAGAGGATAGTATTCAATCTACATTTTATAAAAATCACCTTTCAAGGTAATAATATATATAACAGCAGCGTATGAGAGTCAAATTGGACGACTACAGGGACTCAATTTCACTCATTTAACAGTTCATCTATTGCCACATTTATATATATATATATATATATATATATATATATATATATATCAGTCAAGAATAGAAAATTATTGAAAATGTTCAAATCGAGAGATCCTCCAGTCTCAGGAGACCATGGATCACGTCGGATGAGGATCACCAGTGCAGCTGCAGCGTCATTTGTGGTGTGGCAGTCTCTGCCGCAAAACATGCAGGTGAAATCTGAGGCAGGTTGGATAGCTTGGCTCCTCCTCGCCTTCCTCTGTTTGCTTCAGTCTGCAGATTGAAGGTTTCCTCAAAGTTGGAGAGGCCTTTCAACACAACCTGTCTCTACTGAGGTCTACTGCGGCGGTAGCTTCCCAAGAATCCGGGTTGATTCCGAGAGCCTTAAGATCTCTTTTGTAAATGTCTTTGTACCTCAGGTGGGGTCTGCCTGTTGGTCTTGTTCAGTTCGCCATACAGGAAATCCTTCAGAATGCACCCATCTTCCATTCAGACTACAACCAACATGGTTGTGATAGCCAGGGTGGTTCCCCAAGAACTAATGGTTCCCCTAGGAACGTTTCCTGTTGCATTCGCACCGCCAGTAGGAACTCTGTAAGCTGCGCTCGTTGTTGTGACTTTTATTTTGACAGCGCTGACAACGCCAGAGCCTGAGCAAACAAACAGTGCTCGCATTCTTTGTGTTCATTAGGTTATGATCTGTCTAACAGTCCTGTCTAATACGTTATTAGATAGAACTGTTATACATAGAAAGTAGACCGTATATGAAAAGTTATTAGCGTATGGCGTGTGGTTGATGTCCAGTGTTGCTAGCTGAGCAGAAATACATAATGTTTAGCTTGGTCCCTTCAAAGTTGCGTTGGATTTTCTCCTCAGCGTAAAGGTTAACAAGCCAATCTATCACTGTTTTCCATGTTCGTAGAGTTCGTTTCTGGAGTAAATTAATAGGCTATAATATGTGTGTTTACATAGCTTTTTTAAAAATGGCGGGTGCTGGTGTTTCGCATGCGTTCGGCAAATCAGCGTACACTAACATCACTGTAGTTCCTATAGTGCTGGTTTAGAACCTACTCTGAAGTAGGAGCTAATTTAGTTCCTCCAAAAGAGTTCCTATAGAACTAAAATTGTTCCTAGTTCCTGGGGTGCGAACACGCCGATATCCGGGTACTTTCGCCAATAGTTCTAGGAACTATGAAAAGGAAAAGCCCCTATAGAGGATCCCAGGTACACAAAGTCGTGTACAACCTCAAGTTTATAGTCAGAGATTGAGATGCTGGATGGATGATTTACATCTTGTCCCATGACTTGCATCTTCTTTAGGCTGATGGTGAGTCTAAATTCTTAGCATGCCTTGCTGAAGCAATTCATCAGTTGTCGCAGATCCTCAGCGGAATGTGTGGTGAGAACTGCATCATCGGCAAACAGGAGGTCCCTCAAACACTTAATTCGCACTCTGGTCTTTGCTCTTAATAAAGATATTATATATAATATGTATTACAGCAGCAAATGAAAGTCAAATTGAACGACTACAGGGACTCAAGATCACTAATTTTAACAGTTCATCTATTACCAAAATTATTAAAAAAAACAGTCAAGAAAAGAAAATTATTGAAAGTGTTCTTATCAGGAATGTCAGAATCAGAATAGCATAGTTCTTACATAAAAAAATGTCTGTCAAAACCAACACATATTGAACAATGTTCTCTAACCCGGTGAAGTTTTTCAGTTGGATTGGTGTTTATTCTCTTTAGCATGCAGTGTGAATCATTCCGATTCAATTTCAGCATGTATGCTGAACATGCTGAATGAATGTTGTTCATTCATTATGCATGTTACCGTCTCTGACAGACAGCATGTTGAAGCCACTCAGGCCACCATTCTCCCTCTTGTGATGACGCATTGAAAACATCAGGTAGTATGGGTTTTCCAGGAATGGCATGTAGGCTACTCGCTGGACCTCTGCTTCTCGTGAATACTGCCGTGTATTGTGCACGTTAATTTTTGCCAGACATTGATGTGATATTCAAATTATGTGGATTTGAAAACCGATGGATCATAAGGTAAGACTTTATTTCTTAGCCGGTGTAAGAAAAAATGATGTGGACATCGAAGATCTCAAAAATGAAGTTAATTACAGCATAGCAGTGGCAAGGTAGCCTACTCGAAGCACCTTGGGTTCACCGGTGTCAGAATGAACCCAGAACATCTAAATCTCAAACCTTTAAACCTGTTACAGTTTACACTCTTAATGTAAATTAAGTTGTTCTTGTTGTACCAGCTGTGTCTGTATGTTAATGAAGTTGAGACACCCCATTGTCTGAGAAGGTTCTCTGTGTCCCACACCCATTCCCAATTGATGATGATCATTTGCTCAGGATGTGATCAACCCAAATGGTGAAGAAACAATATAACTTCACTTCCTTCATCTCTATGATAATTAAGCCATTTTGGGGATGAGCTTATTCTAAAATATACTTTGGAGTGGAATCTGGGTCGAGGCAGACTACCATTTCTTACACCGGCAAGTATTCAGTGAAGTGATTGATGCCCATGTTGCAGTATGTTGATGTTTTTAATTCTAATATCCCAACCAACCAAAGTTTTTGACGGATGTGACGTGCGGAAGGGTTGACCTATGTTTAATTTTTGGGAAATGATCACTGACCGTTTATTTAATGGCTTTAATAAATTACGTTTCTCAGAGACATGTTTGGACCGGGTCCGTGTAACGCTTCACAATTCAATTTTCAGACCATACAATGCAAATGCAAAAATAAAACATTGAAACCAGACGTTCATTTTTCTTGTTTTTCCAGTTACGTTATAAATGGATAGTTGCCTTTTTCTCCCTTTTTTCAATTTTACTTGTGCTAAATTGTGACTTCAGAAACAAACATTTGAATAAATGAAATCGAACTGATTTTCTGTTTTTCTAATTTTCGTCTTGTAATTTGCGCCGTGGGCGGTACCATTAGCACGGGGGTGTGGCCGTGGACTAACTTTACTATCATTTCATTGATGCAACTGCTTTATTTACACTGCACTGAATGCACGTTGAGGAGAAGTTTAAAAGACGGAACACAGGACGACATTTTTCACCCGAGGTGACAGTTTTTATTGATAATAACTGCACTGTTAACCCTTGCTGTAAAAAAGGGCCAAATTCTGACAATATCAAACCATTTTCCATTAAAACAGTGTTGCTTAAATTATTTGCAAATAGTTTAAATAGATTACTTAACTACAATTAGACCTACCTTTTACCATTCTTATTCCTTTAAATCCATTTTAAAAATGTAACTCGATTGTCATTATTTTTTAAATAATAAATCCCCCACCTGTATATTAAACAGCGAAAGCTGCATAGCAACACCACATATGGTAGCAAAGCTATTAAATCATACAAAAATACTAAGACAGTCTATACAAGAAAAACAAAATGAGCCACTCAAAGTTAACAAAAAATTATAAAAATTATTATTATTAGTGCAGTAAGCCCATTTGCAAATCAGAACTTGTTTATTTTTAATGAATAGAAATACTGAAAACCATAATCAAGTAGCCTATCCGGAAATGACAATGTCAATAAAGTCAAATTAAAGTCATGTGAAATAATACTTCCTACAGTAAACTATGCCCAAAAAAGATTGAAAGTAAAAGCATTATCTTAAAGTAAAATAGTGTAATAAAAAAACTCTTTGTGATGATCACATGTAAGCTATATAGCACAAGTCTATTTGATGTGATGTTTACATCTGGAAGATGTATTTTTAAGAGTGTTTGCTCATCTGCAATACGTCTATAGGACGTTTTCTGTCAGATGTCAAATAGACGTTTAGAATATGTCTTTAAGATGTAATGATTTAGAATGCATGTTAAACTGACATCTTCTAAACGTCTATTTGATATCTGACAGGAAACGTCCGTATTGCAGATGAGCAAACACTCTTAAAAATACGTCTTCCAGATGTAAACATCACATCAAATAGACTTGTGCTATCTGGGTAGATACAACCCAGCGGGGCAGCGGGCGAAATAAGTAGCCAGGCCACCGTTTCTCCCGCTACTCCCAATGGCCAGACCTGAATTCTACATTTAGCACACTCTGTTAGACCTTACCAGATTTTTTTTACAGTAAAATACTGGCAACACTTTTTAATGGAAAATGGTTTGATATTGTCAGAATTTGGCCTTTTTTTACAGCAAGGGGTTAACAGTGCAGTTATTTTCAATAAAAACTGTCACCTCGGGTGAAAAATGTCGTCCTGTGTTCCGTCTTTTAAACTTCTCCTCAACGTGCATGCAGTGTAAATAAAGCAGTTGCATCAATGAAATGATAGTAGCTAAAGTTAGTCCACGGCCACACCCCCGTGCTAATGGTACCGCCC